AACAAAAGGGCCACAGGGAGTTCGTCTACTGAGGATCTAGGTGTGCAGGTGAAATTCTCATATTTTGGCCTCTCAGGAGCCTTCTAGAAACCCCTCAACCCTGCTCTTGTTGAAGTTTTTGCTTTTACTTCTGGCTGAGCTGGCCCTCCCATGCCTCCACACACCCAGAGCTTCACACCTCTGCCACACCAAGTTCTGTATGGCCTTGTCTCACCCAAAGTCTATTGCAGAGTGCCTGCACCACACCCCTGCCGGCTGGTGTTTCTTCCTAAACTTTTCTTTTCTTTTTTTTTTTTTTAATTTTTTTTTTTCTTTTTCCTTTTTATCGGTACCAGGGATTGAACTCACGACTACCTGCTTGCAAGACAGGCTCTTATGCCGCTGAGCTAAATCCCCAGCCCCTCTCCTGAACTTTTCACTGGGACAAATCTCTCCACTCTCCTCCCCAACCTTCCCCAGCCCAACTAAGTCTGTTTGTAGTACTTCCCAATGCTAAAAGCCAAGGAAAAGAGGTAAAAGGGAGGAAATATGGAGGAAAAAATAAGATAAAACCAAAATAAAGTTACTATATGGCAAATTTGGTTCATCCCCATTGCATTTTGTGGCTGTAGTAACAGAGCCATTGCCAGACAATGCCAGCTAACTCTGCACAGATTATTCACAGCACCTACCATCCACCCACAGACATATACCATTAGTGCTTGTGCCAAGGGAATCATACCCCTGAGCATTGAGGGAGCGTGTGGAAAGCAAATCCAGCAGCATTTAGGAAACACTACTGCCCCAGCAATAAACTAGTTAGAGGATTTCTGGCATTGGGTAACTCTAGAAAAGGCCCCGGCTTTGTTTTTAAAGCAGGTTCATTCATCCAGGCCACTGAGAGGAAGGAGGCTCTGAAAATACTTAGAGAAGGGAGGAAACGTCAATGGAGAGAGTCCAGGAGGCCTCCCTACTGCCTCCACAGTGCTCCGCAGCCCTGTGTGATCTCAGCCTTGCCCATGGGGAGCCTGTCTTCCTGCTTCCTCAGAGGCTGTGTAGCCTGTTGCATACTTAGCTCTCTCTGAGTGACCTCCAGAAGAGCTCCTATGTCCAGGAGTTGAGAGTCACACCCTAGACTGTGCACACCCTGGACATTCATCTGGCTTCAGAAACAATGCAGTTGCTTTTGTGACAGTGATCCTTGCTCAGTGGCACAAGCGCCTGCCTCACAAGCACGAGGTCAGGAGTTTGATTCCCGGGACAAAAAAATAAATAAAAATCTACTTAAGGCCTGGGGATGTGGCTCAGTGGTAAGAGTATTTGCATACCATCCAAAAGCCCTAGATTCCATTGCCAGCACTAAAGACAAACTATAAGTTTAACTGGGAGCTGCCCCATTGTTTGGCCAGTGAGCCTGGCTGGGCCCTGTCCCCCACTTGAGGTGTTTCCAATGCCTCTTGACCTTACTTAGCATGTCCCGCGACCAGTCTTCCCCCAGCCACCTCCTCTCAGTCCTCAGCATTCACTCTGGGTTTTTTGTTTGTTTTTTTTTTCCCCCCCTTTCTTTGTGGTAACAAATTGGGCCCAAGAATATTATGCAGAAATTCAGGCATTCTTTGGCTTTACCCCACATGCTTTTTTACCTCCTAGTACTGGGGTTGATCCCAGGGTCTTTGTACTGAGCTAACCCCAGACCCCCTTTTTTGAGACAGAATCTTGTTAAGTTGCCCAAGCTCGGCTCAAACTAGTACTTCTCCTGCCTCAACCTCCCAGAGTGCTGACATGCACCACCACACATGGCTTCCTGAGACTCCGTCTGTGCTGTTGCCCCACAGGTGCATCTTTGCAATGTGGTAGGGACACTTTCTGGGCACCAACAACAATGACCAAGTAGGATTTTCCAGGCATGTTTTCAGTCATGTTCCAGACACAGTGCACAACATAGCAGTCCAGCTGGGTGACATGGAGTTCCTATTCTAGTACTCCTTGGCAGGTGTAAGCAGATAGCATGATGGGACTGTGTTCCTCTGAGCTCTGGAAATGACTTCCACAGGCCTGCTGAGTGCTACCCAGGATTCAGGGGATAATTCTGGGGTGTCAGACAGTATGGGTAGTTCAGAGAGGGGTAGAGCTCGTAGTGCCATCATATCCTGAGGTTTTTTATGGGACAAAGTTCCCTGGACCAACATTTCTGTTCTGCTGCACCTGAGCTGTGGCCCCTTTATCCCTTCTACATGGCCTCCATTCCCACTCGCCCCCAATCTGCACCCATTTGCATTCCTGCCCAGCTGCTTGGTGCAGCCCCATAGCCTCTCCATTGCCTACCCATGGCTATTGTGTCCAGTCCCTTTCCCGAGAAAGTACACTGTACCATCATTCCTGAAGCACTGGATTTTACTGTTCCTGGGGTCCCTGGGTGACATGCTAGTTGTGTAACCTTGAGCAGATCACCTCCCTTGAGCTCTGGTGTGCCCACCTGTGATGTGCAGGTATGCAACACACGCAGAAAGCACTCAGAAGCTCATCCCTGAGAGACACATCCTCCTCCTCTGGCTTTTGCTAGCAGCCCTGACATATCCATACCTGTGTCACTAGCAAAATGAGAATATGTGGAAGGTTTTTGCTATTTCCCTTCCTGCAAGGAACTCATCCCTGAAAAAATGCACTGCTGTCTCCCACCCTGTCCTAAAGACTGGGTTTGTTCCCACCCCACTTGTCATCTCTGTAGGCCAGTTCTGTCTGGGGATGGGTCCTTGAGGCTGCTCCTGTACCAAGCATGTGTAAGCTGACTTAGCCCTCAGGGCTGACATCTGAAATGCTCTCCAAGTCCCGTATTTCTTGCTTTTTTTTTTTTTTTTTTAATTTTTATTTAAAGAGAAAGAAACATTAAAAAAAATGGAGAAAAAAAGAAAAAAAAAGGGTAGAAATAATACAGAATTACAGAAAAATAAACAGTAAGAAATCACTAAGTTACATATTGTCATCTTAGAAATAGTTGTTCAGGTTACAAAGTTAAAGCATATAAAGTGTCATTCAAATAGTGACACTGCCAACAGTTCTGCTCAATGATCCAACAAAAACTTAGTAATATGGTTATCAGTCCTACACACTTGTTTTTTTTTTATCTTAAAGAGGGTAAGATTAAACATATTGAAACAGAACAAAACAGTTCATAAAGAAACAATTTAAATTTCTTGCTTTTTTGAAGTGAAAGGGTGCCCCTGATTTGTTTTACTCCCTGTTGGATACCTTCTTGCTGCCTCCCATCCTATGAGGTTTGCCAGCTAACCTCGCCTGGGACAGCTGAATTGCTGAGAGGGACCCATGTGCTTGGGGCCACTGTGGGGACAAAGGTGGTGGTGCTGATGAAATTCAGGAAGCAGATGGTTACCTGGGAGAATCTGGAGGGGTTGCATGTGTGAACAGACCAGTGTACCATCCTGGAACCTGGAGGGAGTCTAGGAGGAGGCATCTTGGCCACATCCAGGCCTCCTTAGGATGTGAGAAGAAGCAGGACGCTGGGGTCCAGCTCCTCTGACAGAGGAGAGAGGCTCTTATGCTCCCTGAGAACTTGACCCTGGCCTGGCCTCGGTGCTCTGTCTCCTCTGGAGGTTTATGCAGCTGACTGACTTCCATACTTCCGGTGCCTGGAGACAGCCCCTGAGAACCCTGCTCTGCCCTCCCCAAGGGCAGAGGGTGTCAGCAGTATGTGCCTGTGTCCTGTAGCTAAGATGAGAACATAAGCTGTGAGGTAACTTTGCCACTGCAGCATCCCTTGCCCAGCTATGCCTCCCTGCAGCTGTCCCCCAGAGGAGCACTAGTTTTTAGGCCATGGACAAGGACTGACTGGTTGCTAAAAGGGACAGCTATTCCATAGGGCCTGGGTGCATGTGGAAAGTGGCAGCAGGTTCAGGGTAGGAAAGGAGGGGTGGTGGGTACTTGAGGGGCAGGGCTGGGAGGGAACCACTGCACAGCCATTCTTGCCCTCCAGACTGGAGTGGGATAAGCTGGACATGGGGATCAAGGACATTTGTTTCTGCTCCTTGGTACCATCTGTAGCTCTCCACATGGGACTTTTGGGTCTGGGATTTTGTTAGTACCTAGGTTGATTCTGGAACATGTGTGGGGTATGCTAGTCACCCTGGGTCCCTAGGACTCAGTGTACGTCAAGCCTGCGGGGGAAACCTGCTGTATTTGTTCAGCTCAGCATTTTGCAGGCATAGCTATAGCAGTCCTGGCCTGACCTTGTGACCTCGGTGCTCCTCTTGACTCCAGGCAAGGTTGTCACAGAGTGGTGGGAACAGTCCATTCCCTCTGTTACTGTCCCACTGGGCCAGCAGCTTTGGTTCAGGGCCTCTGACCCAGCCATGTGGAAATCATCACAATGTGGGTGGCACTGTGTGCCTCAGTCCCCCTGCTACCCTAGTGCACACAGTGCCCTGGGCAGCCCTGTCTGGCACAGTCATTGAGAGCAGATAAACTGGCATGCAAGAGCAGGTACCATTTCACTCTCAAGCTTGGTTTAGACCACAGGTCCTAAAAGCGCTGAGCAGCTATGGTGGGTAGGTCCCTGTGTCCTGTCCTTCTGACCCACAGGATGGGCAGGAATCATTGGGTAAGATCTGGATTTGTTTCCAATTTGAGATGCTCAGAACCCAGAGTGTTTCTCACCCTTTACTCCCTGACCATAGCAGAAGAGTGGTAGGAGGGAGGTGTGGAGCCATGACTGTCTTGGGTACCAGTATGCGTATGGTCTCACAGAGGTATGTGGGAATACGTGGCTGTGAGTTGCAACTCTATTGTCCAGAGGGCTATGGAAGGGCCTCTAGATGGGCCTGCTGTACTGTACAGGTTCATTCTGTGTGTTTAAGGGTGGGGCTGTTGCCTGGGTGCATATTTGGAAAAAGACAAGGGAGTAGCTGAGGCTACAAGGGAGGACAGGCCTGTGAATATGGTGGCCGGTGGCCTGGAGGCACATGGGAATGTGTTACTGTTAGTTGGCTGATCCTCTCCACTTCCAGGTCAGCCAGAGTGGCCTCACTATGCTGTCTTCACCGTCACCTGGCCAGCAGGTGCAGACTCCACAGTCTATGCCCCCTCCCCCACAGCCATCCCCACAGCCAGGCTCGCAGCCCAACTCAAATGTCAGGTAAGCCTGGCCAGGGACAACCCTCTCATCTGGTCCTCAGACCCTGGCTCAGACTTGCTTCCTCTCATTTGGCTACAGTTCCGGTCCTGCCCCATCACCCAGCAGCTTCCTGCCTAGCCCCTCACCTCAGCCTTCCCAGAGCCCAGTGACAGCACGCACCCCACAGAACTTCAGCGTCCCCTCCCCTGGACCACTAAATACCCCTGGTAAGTGGGACCTGGGACCAGGGTGCCATGAGGCACCAGGAATCACCTTCATGAGGCCTGAACTCATAAAGGCGCATGTGCTCTGGGGCCCCTCAGAGCTTGAATACCCCACCTGAGGGTTTGCAGAGAGCCAGCCTCACATGCTTGTGTCCCACAGTGAACCCCAGCTCTGTCATGAGCCCAGCAGGCTCCAGCCAGGCCGAGGAGCAGCAGTACTTGGACAAACTGAAGCAACTATCCAAGTACATCGAGCCCCTGCGCCGCATGATCAACAAAATTGACAAGAATGAAGGTGGGGCAAGGGCCAGGCTGAGGGCAGGCCCCAGTGGATACCTCAGGCCTGGGTCTTAGTGTCCCCTCTTCGTCCCAGACAGAAAAAAGGACCTGAGTAAGATGAAGAGTCTTCTGGACATTCTGACTGACCCCTCAAAGCGGTGAGCTTTACCCCAAGCCAGACATTCTGCACTGCAGCTCCTGAAGGGCCCCCAGGGCCTACTGGTGATAGGAATTTAGCAAAAGGCCCTGTGAGAGGTCCCCGAGGCTTCCTGTAGGTGTGTGCTGGGGCGCGGAGCCCTGAACTGACTTTCTCCATTGCTCAGCCTTCGCCTGTTCCAGGCTGCTGCTGTGATTCTCACAGTTCCACCCTGTGACTATCACAGCTTGGTTTCAGTGGGCTTTTCGTCAGCCATGACAGGCCTGAGTCTGACCTTCATCTCTGCTCCTACTTGTCAGTAACCTTAGCCAGGAGACTGCATCTTGGTCACCCCATCTGTAGCAGGGCTGCATGTGCTCCTCAGGTAAATGAAACAAAGTGGTGCCCAAGCAAAGCATGTGGACGGCAGTGCCTCCCAACCACAGGAACTCGTGTAGCATTCCAGAACCGTGCACTGAATGGGCCTTTCTGTCACTTCTCTCCCATCTTGCTGCTTCATCTGACACTCTGCTCCTCTCCTTCAAGGAAATTCTTGTCCTGCTTGTCTGGGTCAGATGCTATGCACTGCTGAATGGGGCCTGTTAGGGCTGGACAGCCCTTCAAGCCCTCAGGTTGACTTTTCAGTGGAGTTGTGAGGTCAAGAACAAAGGGAGTTGAGACCAAAGCCTTCTCAGCCTGGCCTGGGAGCAGCTGACTAACTGGCTGGGCTTCCTATGGAAGTTTCCAGTGGCTGAGGCTCAGGGAGGCCAGGCAGGCAGTGCTTGGGATCAACAACTGAGTCACCATCTTGCCCAGCTCCCAGCATAGAGGACAATCCACATCTCCCCTCCCCTCAGATGTCCCCTGAAAACTCTACAGAAGTGTGAGATCGCCCTGGAGAAGCTCAAGAATGACATGGCAGTGGTGAGTGGAGCTCCAGGCACCTCTTGGGAGGCCAGGGCCTAGCCCTCTATACCTCGAAGCTTGGCTGGAAGGAGTCTTCATACTCAGGAAGCCTCTTTCAGGCTGGTGACTTGGAGAGTGAGAATGTGGGAAAAGTCGCCCTCTGTCTTTCGTCCGCGTGTGTGCCTCTGGCAGCCCAGTACCAAGTCCTGGCCCTGGGGAAGGATACCTGGGTGGGAGTAAGGCTGCAGGGGTTAGAGCTGTGTCCAGGCTCAGTCAAGGTGGTGCCGTGCTGTGAGTAAAGGGTAGGCCCAGGCTCTGGAAGGCCTCAGAGTAAGCAAAACTTTGAGTACAAGCTGTGATCCGCCTATCCTGTTCCTAGCCCACACCCCCACCACCCCCAGTACTACCGACCAAGCAGCAGGACCTATGCCAGCCGCTCTTGGATGCTGTACTGGCCAACATCCGCTCACCTGTCTTCAATCATTCCCTGTACCGCACTTTTGTGCCAGCTATGACAGCCATCCATGGCCCTCCCATCACGTATGTACTTCCATGGGTAGGTCTCAAGGGGTTCCAGGCCAGAGGCTACATGTATCTAGTGTGATCAACACAGCCTCTTCTTCCAGGGCCCCAGTGCTGTGTACTCGGAAGCGCCGTTTTGAGGAGGATGAGCGGCAGAGCATCCCCAATGTGCTACAAGGGGAGGTGGCCAGATTAGACCCCAAATTCCTGGTGAACTTAGACCCTTCTCACTGCAGTAACAATGGCACTGTCCACCTGATATGCAAGCTGGGTGAGTAGCCAAGTAGGACTGGGGGTGGGAGGGTGTCTAAGGCTCTGCTGCCTATGCCTGAAGCCATGAGGTGTCTGGGCTGGTGGGTCAGTGCTTCCCTCCTCACTGCTGGCCCTGCACTCACACAGCCCTCCCCACTGTCCTCACTTCTCAGCAGCCTGGACAGCTTCCAGGCCTTAAGTCCACCCCAACTCCTTCTCCCCTACAAGAAGAGGCTGCTGGCTCTGTGTTTGGAGTGCCCTGCAGGCATTGCAGCAAGCCGTAGTAGAGCTTTTTAGGGTGTGGAGAGCTGTGTTCCAGGGCAGGGCTGTGGGGCAAGAAAGTTGAAATGTACATCAGGTCAGTGCTTGGGGCAGGTCACAGGTGTAGCCTCATGTGTTACAGATGACAAGGACCTCCCAAGCGTGCCACCCCTGGAGCTCAGTGTGCCTGCTGACTACCCTGCCCAGAGCCCGCTGTGGATCGACCGACAGTGGCAGTATGGTGGGTGAACTGAGAGATGATGTCTGGGGCCAGGGCAGGCTGGGGTCAGCACTGGGCAGCTTCCACGTGCCTCCTCTCTCCCCAGCACTGTCAGGAGCAAGGTACTCAGCAGTCACCTAGAGAAGGAAGGCTGTGTGCCCCTCATTGTGCCCTTCACCCATCTGTCGTGAGGTGCAAGGCAGCTATGTTAAGTGGGGTAGTGTTGAGCAAGCCCACAGCTCAGGGACACCCAGCTGCTCCCAGTGGCTGCTGTGTAGCTCTGCAAAGCTGACCCAGGGCCACCAGTAGGAGCCTGGTTTTATGCAATTCTAGCTGTATGATGAGGCTCTAGAAAACCAGTCCAAATGCCAGTTCTTCACTAAGGGTATGACTGTGAGAGGGGAGCCCTGCCATCTGGTGACTGATGCAGGGCTGTCCCTTCCCACAGAGGTGCATGTGCGGGCCAGGCTCAGAGGTGGCTGACTGTCTCACTCAGGGCCAATTGCTCACAACCCATTGCTCTATTGCAGACGCCAACCCCTTTCTGCAGTCAGTGCACCGGTGCATGACCTCCAGGCTGCTGCAGCTCCCCGACAAGCACTCAGTCACAGCTCTGCTTAACACCTGGGCACAGAGCATCCACCAGGCCTGCCTCTCGGCTGCCTAGCCAGGAACAGCAGGGACAAACAATAGCCTCGTCCACTCTGTGGATCCACGCTGCATATTGGACCTTTCTAGGTGTTGGGTTCCTTAGAGAGCCTGGGGTTAGGTTAGCTTTCCTGCTTTTCTCTTCTGCCTTGGGGTCTCCCCATACTTGTACAGTACCGGGCCAGCTGGCTGTGGAGCTGGCTACACGGAGAGGGTTCAGGGAGGGGTCTTCCTAGAGAAAATTCTCCATACCACACCCTCCGGGGAGTCAGACCGGTGGGCCATGTTCCTTGCAGCCTCTCCGGGCTCCCTGTTTACTCTGGGCAGCATGAGGGAGAACTCAGGGTCTCACCCAAGCATCTTGTGAATTAGCATACATTCTACTCATTTCCATAGGACATGGAAGAGAACATAGGAAATCCTGACAGCACAACTCTCTGGTCACAGTGTTGGGTTCAGGGCATGCTGCTTGCGGCTTGTGAAACATGGCCAGAGATGCTCTGGGACTTGGGTCCCAGGCTCCATTTCAGAGGGAAGGCCAGCCTCCAGGCAGCAAAGGAGTCCCTGGCCATAGGTGGGTATCAGGCCATGTGTTCTGAGGAAGCACGGGTAGGAGGGTCAAAGGAGCCTATCCCTGGTATGCCTGTGTCACTCTTGGCGAAGGGTGCCTGATTCCCGCTGTGAGGGATGAAGACTGACCAGATGGGTACTGTCCTTGGGACCTGGCATCCTTGGAATACCCTGTTCTGTGCATCACCCCTAGAGTGTGGACTCCCTGTGGGATGCAGCTACACAGCACCTTTGTGTATTGCCTGCCACACTGAACAGCAGCCAGCAGTCCTCTGGTGACAAGAAGTTCCCTTTTTATATGTGCACTACCCTGTCATATGTGGTTCCTATAATAAATTTATTATTCCCATGTTTGTCAGAAGTTCCTCTCTGTCTCCCTTCTCTATGCATCTGGGGCCCACTATCCTGTCAAGGCTGCTGCTGGTTTTGGAGATAGTGTCGACTGGCCCCAGGCATTTGTCCTTTCTGTGCAGCATTCCATTCCTCAGCCTGTGTCATATCCAGCTTCATGGCCAACTTCTTGCTGAAATAATGCCCAGGAAATGGGGCACTCAGGCCAGGAGCACCATGCTGCTTGGTGATGGTAGGCACCAAACTGCCTACCTTGAGGTATTGCAGGCAGCTGTTGATTAAAGGGTAGCAGGGCCGTGACATCCTGGAGAGAATGGCTCTCCCTTGGCTGTGACCCTCCCAGGATGAAGGCTCAGCTGGACCATTCATCAGCACCATTGGTGCCCCTAAGCAGTGTTCAGTATGCCCTCATACAGCTGCAGTGTGATGTGCTTGGACAGAGGTGGGGTGGGCTTGCCCAGGGGGCCACCCCTACTGTCTACACACCAGCATAGTGGCCCCTGAATTCGAGGTCTTATTCTCATCTTTGAAAAGTCATTGTAGCAGCCCATGCAGCTACATGCAGGAATGACCGGCCCCCCGCCATCCGTTCTTCCATGAAGTATCCATGCCATTATGGGCCCATGTGGGGAAGAGGGGCTACTGTGGACAGTAACTTCCTGTTGGGCACTGAGGGGTCTCCCTGTTTCTTCCACAGTTTCTTAGTCTATTCATTATTAACATGGAGATCCATAGCCAGTACATGCTTTGCTCATCGTTTTCAAAGCCATACTACAGAGAAGCAGCTTGGGCTGTGCTGCCCATACCCTCCTGAGCCCCGGTCCTGGCTGATGACCATAGCTGATGGGGCCTGCCCATGGATCCCTGTAGCTTTCTCTGAGGGGCTTTTGTCTTGAGTGCCTTGGGCCACAAATGGCCCAGACTGTTCCCTGTTCTCCACTATCACATCTCTAATGTCTGCAGGGTACCCACTCTGCCCAGCCAGGCCTGGGCACTGGGAACAGAGGTGATGACCCAGCATAACCTACCCCTCCAGGAACTGCCCTGGCCGTAGATAAGTGAACATGGGTAATGTGATGGTCACACAGTGCCTTTTCCCCTTACCCCCAGGCTAGCCAGGCCACAATGACTGAGGTCAGCCTCAAAAGGATACGGGAAAAGACCTATAATCTCAGTACTCAGCTGAGGCAAGGGGATTGCTGAGTTTGAGAGTAGCCTTGGCTACAAAGTGAGTTCTCACCAGCCTGAACTGCACAGTGAAACCCTGTCTCAAAAAGACAGATCTAGATGGAAAGAAAGAATGAGAATGGGGAAGGGGGTCGTGACACGCAGATGCCCAGTGACCAAATCCTTGGCACTCCAGCCAAAAAAGTACAGTATGGGAGGGAGAAACTGAGGCACTGGTCCAGGTAGGTAGGGGACAAAAAAGATCCAGCTGAAATATGAGGTGGGAGCGAGGAACAGTCACATACTGAAAAGTTCTGCACCACGTTAGGCCCCATTAGGAAGACAGGCTAAGGATGCTGTGGGCAGAGGGTAGAGAGGTCCCAGGCAGTGTTCATTTTAGCTCTGCTGTGTTTAGTGGGTAACAATCCATTGAGCTGTACACTTGCACTTCCTGGGGTGTAGAAACGTTTCTTACCAATGAGGGCCTGACTGTTCAGAGAGGATGGGGCTGGTGGGGTGAACCTTCTAGAATTTGCTGCCATGCACGACACTGTCCTGTGTCCTCTGGACTTAATGCTGTATTTCTGGTGGTAGCCTTGTCAAGAGTTGGGGTTACCTGAGAGGGTGGAAATGCCCCTCCTGGGACTCAGTGCCTAGCCCGCAGCCCAGAGTCACCCTTATTCTCCCTGTGGCGCTCTCCTCCAGGACCTGGCCAGCTTCCATGCACCAAGCCCACTGCGTGGACTGTGGCGCCACCTGCTGGACGCCAGCAGTCCTGGGGGCTACATCAACTGAAACCTTAGGTCGCTCAGCCAGGAGACTGCTTCCTGACCCACGTCCTAGCAAGCTGACTAGGCTAAGAGGGCCAACCCTACGTAGTGCAGCACTACCCAGAGGACAAAGGGTGTGGTGAGGGAGGGTGGGGAAGGAGATGGAGATGGGGTTTGGGCTCCTGATCTACTAGGAAAGCACCTGATTTAATAGGGGAGAACCATCTGCCTTTCTATCTTTAATACTTTATTTTTTGAAGGAGATACAAATTCACAGATTAACTTTCAGGCAGGCTCAGTGACATAGGCCCTATAATCCCAGCTACCTGTGAGGGTGAGGCAGGATCATAATTGCAGCCCAGCTGGGGAAACTTAGCAAGTATCTTTTGTCAAAATTTTTAAAAAGAACTGCGGAGGGCTGTAGCTCTGGAAAAGATACTAGGTTCATCCCCAAGTATCGGTGTGTATGGGGGTGAAGGCCTAGTAGGGTAAGTTGTTTTCAGTAGTGGAGGCTGAGCTCTGCACCTCATGAACTAGGCAAGTGCTGTGTCACTGGGCCACATACGCAGCCCTTTTTCAAACTGAGACAGTCCTCTTGTGTTGCCCAAGCTAGACTTGAATTCATCATCCCGCTTCAACCTCTCAAATAGATGGGATTATAGCATGTCCCATCATGCCTGACTGGGGAGGTAGCTCTCAGAAGAGCTGTTTTTGCCCTATGGACTCTAGTCAGCCAGGTCTTAACTAGGAAGCCACAGGCTTAATGCTTCATAGGGCAGAAGATAGAGTTAAAGGGGAAGGGAGAGGAGGTGGGTCAATACACCTGAAAATTACAGGGACTGAGGAGGAATGCTTACTAGTCTATACCTAGAGAGTGGGGAGCCCAAAGTTATGAACACCCCTCAAATCTTTGGCTGGCTCTCAACTACAGGCACATGCATTGACAGGACCCAGTGGAAGCCAGGAGAAACAAAGTAGGTTGTCCTTGGTGGGGCTGGCAGTGCCCATCTCTCCAAAAACCTGCCATTCTCCTCAGGGGCCAATGAGAACTACAGGCAGCTGTAGATGTGCCTGGCACAGAAGACCTACAGAGACTGGGGGACGCTGTCACACTGACTGACCTTTGCCCTGGCTCACCATTTACGTGGGTTGGGTCAGGTTTTGGGCCCCAAAGTGCCAATGAACAGACATGTGGCCCCTTGGGAGAAGGGTCGGAGGTCAGTACACCCAGCAGCTGAGTGCTCAGGGACCTGCTGGATAAGGACTGAGTCCAGATACTGAGACTTGGAATCAAGAATTGGTTTATTCAGATCCATGGTTAAGTTACTTTTCAATTGGATTTTTGGTCATGGACTCCAAAATGTATCCTGAGATTACATCAAAATACAAGGCCCAACATTACAATTTGAAAACATGTTATTCTGGGGGGTTTTTTAAAAAAAAAATCCCACATACACCAAAAAACAGAGGCTTGGGTTTAAAATCACCAGCAAGACACTGTTGTGGTATATTGTCTGCAGGATGAACAAAGTTGAGACTGATTTATTTTTGACGATGAATGTGTAGCTGTCATATACCAGGTATGTGTTATCAAAAGCATTACTGTCTCTGAGTCCCTGGTTTAGGGAGGAGTTTTTGCCCATCTTTGGTTGTGCACAGAAGCCAGCAGGACTGCTATAGCCCTCTGCCTCCACCAGTGCTTGCTCATGGTGCAGGACTTCAGAGGGTTGGGGGCCAGAGGTGAAGTGCGATGCTCTGCTCTGAGAGGGTCTCCATGGAATTCAAAAGTGGCACTTTCAGCCCAGTTTTGGACTCACTGGGAGAACATAAAAGAGAACCATCATTCCTTTTTCAAATGTGATAGCAAACCTTCGCTTTAAAGTGAATCAGAGGAGCAATTATTTACTTTTCTCAGGAATTTCTTTTAGAAACTGATTCTTGCTTGAGGGGAGGCTAAGCTGCTATTGGGGACTCTCTTGGGGAGAGATGTCACACTCTGCCCACTTCAAGGACAACCACAGTGGACAGCCCAGGCCTGGAGTCACTGTGGACACAATAGTCTGTTTCACATGGCAAAATCTTCAAATGGTTATGTAGGCCTCCAAGACTAGCTCAGTTGCTTGCAGGGCCTTGGGCTGGCATAGTAAATGGTTGCTGCCAGCTCTGGTTGTCCCACAGCACGGCTCAAGAACCCTGTGACCCTGCTCCTTCCTCGTCAGTCTCCCTTCTCATTTCAGTTTCTTCTGGATGATTCCATGGTCACAGGAAAACAAAACTTAGAAGTCCAAAGATGACCACGCTCTGGCCTGTCAGCAGCCTGCCAGGACCTTTCAGGCCTAGTGCAACAAATCCCAGCAGTCTGCTCTGGAGACAACGGCCCCCATCAGGGCTGGTGAAGCTTTCCCCGTTCCGTCAGCAGTGTCATGGCCATGGCATAGAGGAGGTAGCCCAGGACAAGAAGCAGAGTGCAGGGCAGGGGCCTGATGCACAACAGTGAGCCCATGACAAAGGCCAGCAAGAATGAGAAGAGTGTCCGGTAGCTGCCCAGGAAGCGCAGGCTGAGCCTGGGGCCCCGGGCCTGGCTGGCCGCCTGCCTCCGCCCCACAGGGCTCAGCAGGTGCCTGTTGGCCAGTGTAGGCTCAATGAGGTGGTAGCGACAGAAGCTGCCAAGGAAGTCATCCCGGGAACAGAGAGCAACCATCTGGCCTGCAAACTGAAGCACAAAAACTCAGATGGGATGGTGACAGCAAGTGCTGTAGCCTCAGGGCAACACATCCTTTCTCTCAGGCCACCCCAGGACTTAGGCAACTCTCACAGGCTCATTCTCCATCAGGACCTCTCTGTCCACGCACAGGAACGTGTGGGAGTGGGGCTGCTACACTCAGCCAGGGAATCTGGAATTATTCAAAGATGGAGTGCACAGGCCCACCCCTGCTGCCCACTCACTCTGCGATTGATGGCTGATGACAGCCGGAAGAGCGCTCGGACCAGGCTGGCGTTCTCGTAGCTCCGAATGGGCTGCAGCTCTGAGTCCCCTTGGTACTCAATTTCAAATTTGCGCAGCCCATTGATGATCTAGAAACCCAGACCATGAGGACAATTCAGAGGATACATCTTTGCCAACAGCCCAGAAGAGCCTTTTCTGTTTATCAGCACAAGAGGGAACTGAGCACAAGTCTCAGGATGATAGAGGCCTCTTACTTGGTAGCGGCCCAGGGGCGTAAGGATGAGCCCGTCCTCCCCCACGATGCAGTCTGGGAGCTGCTTCTTCCCATTTTCATCCTGTGTGGTCCCCAGAGCAAGTGTGAGCTGGGCGAGCTGGGCTTCACTGAGCTGTCAGAGAGAAACACTTCGGTTTTCAATTTTGAGGTTAAGGATAAAGAACTGGTCTTCATCCTACCAGCCTAACAGTCAATGACAATGAGAGCTAGATATGACACCATAGGTGTAAACCCATCTATGAGATGAATCCCCAGGGGAAGGAGGGGACCTCTGGAACAGAAGTCATGCTGGAGACTTGTACAGGCCCCGGGACTTGGGTAAGGAGCAATCCCTCAGGGAAGGGACCCTGGCTATGGGACAAGCAATCCCTCAGGGAAGGGATACTGGCTATGGGACAAGCCTTAGGTCACATACTCGGAATATCTGGCGCAGGTACTCAAGGGCCTTCTCTAGGTACTCGTCTGTCTTTCGGATACTGTCCTGACCCATCTCATCCAGGTCATTAGCTGGGTAGCAGCTATTTGGATCTGTAGGGGAGAAGCCCAGCCATGACAGGAAGGACCGGCCAGGGGGGCTCTCCACATACTGGTCAGAGATGGACCTGGCAGTCTGCTTGGCTTGCGTGATGAGCTGAGCAAGGCGTAACACCTGTGAGGGAGACACAGGGACAAATGGTTTGGGTGGGGGCACTTCTAGCACCTGGCCACATACAGAACAAGGCTGGGTTGTTATCCACGAACAGTGACCTGGGGTCAGGAGTTTATACCCAGGTGGATGAAGGACCAGGAGGGGCAGCTTAAGACTCATGGATAAACTTTTTGCTTTGTTCTCTTTTTTTTTTTTTTTTTTTTGTCTTTTTGAGACAGGGTCTCACTATGCAGTTCAGGCTGGCCTTAAGCTCACTTTGTAGCCCAGGCTGCTCTACAACTGGCAAAGATCTTCCTGCCTCAGCTTCCCAAGTTAGTGCTGAGATTATAAGCACATGCCACTATGCCAGGCTTATTCTGTTTATTTTCAGACAACGGCCCAGCCCAAGGTGGCCTGGAACTGGTGATCACCCTTTCCTAGCCTCCCAAACGCTGGGATTTCAGGCATGTACTACTATGCGTGGCATATGGATGATCTCTTAAATGTGAAAAATTTCCAAACCCTCCCTCTATTATTAGAAAAAAATTAGTCTTTACTGGACAAAGAGAAAGAAGGAAATGGCAGTGTGTCTACGCAAACATAATTTCCCTCCTTTTTTGAACTCAGACGCCTTCCCAGTTCCCACAGCTGCAGGGATCCCATGCTGGGCAGTGCCTCCACTTACCAGAGTCCGGACCTCAGGCCCGAACATCGGGATATACTTGCAGTCCTGGCCCTCCAGGCTGTAGACATGGCTCTTCACCTTAAATGAGGCATCAGTAACGGCTGGTGGCCATGGTGACAAGAAGCTGCCAGTGACAGTAGGAGCTGTGAAGAGTCGGTGATGGCGATGGGGGATGACGAGTTCTGGCTCCAGGAATAGCTGCTCACCTGGAAGGCAGGACTTGAGTCTGGCACTCACTTCACAGGCCAGAGTGCTGCGCTATGGAAGGGCTCCAGAACATTTCCTGTCAGCAGGGCTGGTGGCTAAGGACCAGCTCTGATGCTCAGGGAGCTCCAGTCCACACCAAAAGGAAGCCAACAGCGAGACGATAGCATGCTGGGGTGCAAGACCATCTCTTGACCCACCCCATAAGACACTAGAGCAAGAGTCTGGAAAGAACTGTACACAGTGGGTAGTTCCGCTGCCTTGGCATTAGGCACACAGGGCACAGGGCTCCCACCTGCTGTCTGTGGCCACAAGGAAGGTGAGGGTCAGAGGCTTCCTCAAAGCAATGTTGTGCAGAGCCACCTGCAAGCCCAAAAGAAACACAGCCTTCCCCAGGTCTCTATGTGCTGCTTCCTGCCAAAGATAGCCCTGGCTCCAATCCAGCTGGCCCAGGACTGATGACTTACCTTTTTGGATCATTTCAGCCAGGTTGGGCTGGGCAAACACTTTGGCCACTCGGAACACCATGAGCGCGTTTTTGGGGCTGACCAGGTCTGTGCGGAGTGCGCGGTTCAGGAAGCCCACAAAGAGTTTGGTGTACACTAGCAGGTTCTCCTGGACGAAGGGTGCCCTGGGAGCCAGGGTGCAGGTTAAGATTACCCCCTCGAGGCCACACTGCTCCTTACTCCTAAAGCTCTTGGCTTCCTGGGCGTCTAGCTCTCTGGACAAGACCTTATGAAGGTGTCATGAATGGCAGCTTTAGAGGACAGGGAAGAGCTGCGCAGAGAAGGCAGGACTCAGGCCCTCTGAGGACAATGGATCTTTGAGGATGGGGCTCTTTCCAAGAGATTCAAGGCCATCCTGCAGGCTGGCCTGAAGCCTGATGGGCAGAGGGAACAAACAGCAGAGGGCCAAGGGGAAGGCTTTGGTTCAGGAGAGGAGTGTTTTAATGGTGACATGAGGTGGCCTGGGGGTCAGCTATGAGGAGCAAGTTGGAGGTGACCAGGGTACTGTTGCTGCTCTGTGCTGGCAAAGAAGGATAGCAGGAGGCTTTAGGGGCAACCTGGAACACTAATTTGAGTCAGAAGAGCAAGGAATAGGCAGAGGATCACTTATGTGTCCTTGGAAAATTCCTTCTGGGAACAAAGCTCAGTCCAGGAAAGGCTGGCCTGTGTACCCACTGTCTAAGGCTTGGGAACAGAACTCAGAAGACCACCAGAGGCAGAGTCAGGCCAACCCAAACACAGGAACACCCCCCTACCCACCCACCCACTGAAGTAGTACACCCTCAGGGGAGCCAATGGAATCAAGGGGAGGAAGGGCCATGGCCTTACCATTTCTCTGACACAGTCCGGGGCTGGGACTCATTGCTCTGGGCCTGCTTCTCAGATGCGTACCTCCATGGCTGCAGGTAGCTCAGCCACATTTCCAGGACCTAGTAAGGGACATGCATGTCTTGAGGGCCTGCTTTCTGTGGGGCTGGGGCTCTAGGCTTTCAGTCACATTCTTGTATGGCATGCAACCTGGCTCCCAAAGGCCAGCTGAGGTAGAAAGAACCATAGCTGTGGCTCACAGCTATGGGTGGAGGGGTACCACCATGTTCTGGCCTCTGATTGATCTTAGTAAAGATGCCAGTGGGATCAGCTTCTCCTACGTCTTCCTCAGAGGGCACAGAAAGAACTTGTATACCACAGGGTCATTTACTCTTCATGGCAGCCCTTCAAGAACCAGGCTCATGAGCATGCTAGCTGTAGTGGGGAGAAGCCAGAGAACAACCTCTACCTTCTGACAGCCAGCGTGTGGTAGGGGTTTTCTGTACCTTAGGGTCAGCTTTGGAAGCTACAGCCAGCAGAGCAGTGGACTTTCAAGACCTCCTTTTCTCCTTTCACGGTGATAGTCACATCCCTCCCTCAGAACAGAAGGCAAAAACAAAAGGGCCAAAACTTACAGCTCTGAAGGATGCATCCAGGGGCCAGTGGCCAAAGCAGTGCTGCAGGAAGAGGTAGAGCTTCTGCTGGACAAATCGCGGAACAGCAGCCCTGCAGGGAGCCAGGGAGAGGAGAGGGGCACTGATTACCACCAAAGAGTGCTGGGGACTCCCTTGGAGTTAAGATCTGTCTTTAGTACCATTTTTCAGAGGAGGAAACCAAGGTTCAGAAAGGTCTGGGAACACCTAAGGACACACAGGTACCTGGGCCAGTCTGATTCTTCCACACCTCTCAGCCCTACGCCAATCAGCTGGGCTGCTGGCCCATCTCCTGAAGGTGGGGATAGGGGGTGGGGTGGGACGGTTTGCCATCAGTACAACCTCCCTCTTCAGCCTTGACATTGGAAATGGAGGGACAAGCCAGAGTTGCAGAACAGGGTCTCTGGCCACTGAAAAGGGCAGGCCTGGAGAGGCAGCTTTGGGAACAGAAGCAGTGGGGCAGCCCCTGCAGCTCTGGAAGTCAGAGGAGGTAGACAGGCTGCTGTGAGGTCAGGGATCATCTGTGTAGCCCAACTGAGGTCTCCATGCTCTCAGCAAAAAGGGCTGCCCTGTCCCACCCCACATCCTGGGTAAAGTCATGGTGGGCAACATGGTATAAAGGAAGAGACCAGAAGCCATGGGAACTCTGCCAGCCTGCACCCACCGTTTAAACTCCTCCAAGGGACTGGTGGCGTGGGAATGGGTGGAAGGCGAGACCTGCTCAGGCTTTAGGCTGTTGGCAAAGGCATGCAGGTGCTTCAGCAAGAGACGCACCACGAGCACGTGCTCCTCAGAGGGTGTGAATGACTCCTAAGGCAGGGAAAAAGGCCATCAGGACCCATGGAAGTCTGACCACATCCTGCCCCTTGGCTGGCCACTCTGCCACCCCACAGGAGGCACAGGCCTGGAGTAGGGGCCACCCCCCAGGATCCCACTGTGCCTGGCATTCAGCAGATGAGTCTCATGTCACTTTCGGCAGTGAAGTATGGCCCAGCTCATGGCCAGCCTGCCTTAGGGAGAACCAGCTGAAAGATTCACTGCAAAGTGCTCTCTAGTGCACCAAAACCCCCACTGCTAGAACACAGCTGTGTGCCGCAACACACTTCTGCCTGTGCTGGCTTCAGGGGTCCCTATCTGACCAGCCAGAGGACCAGGAATAGGGGCAACTCATCAGAGCTCTGGACCCCAGGCCACCCAACTGCCTCCTGGGTGAGTATAGAAAGCTCTAGGGCTCACCTTTTAAGAGTGGGAGCTTCTTCTTTCTCCCCAGTTCGCTCTCTGGTCACAACCCTGATTCCCTCCTGCTTTCTCTCACAGATAGACAGAGACTCAGCCCCAGAAAAGTCCTCTCCTGCCAGTGGACCTGTGGTCAGCCAAAATCCTCCAGAGAAGTGCGACTTTAACTTCTCATAATACGTAGGGTCTTTGAGGCAAAGCCCATGAGTGAGGAAAGTCTCTGCCAGCAGCAGGACTCCCCCAGCTGTTCAGCATTCAAGTGAAGGGGGACTCATTGGAGCCCTGGAAGTAGACTGGGGCAGGGAAGCATCTGAAGGCAGGACCGCATAGTCCTCTCCAACAACTTGACCAGCTAAGCCTGGCATGGGCCCCAGCCCTGAGGCATTGTCCACTCAGGCCTGTCATGAAAATGCCCCACAGATCCAGGCGACACCCTCACTGGCTTAATCTGAAGATGGAACTCTGTATGAGTTATTTTCTTCTGCTTATTTGCAATTTTAGTCTCTGTGCAACAAATTTAGATTGATTTTAAGAAAAAAGTATAAAATATAATGATACAGTTTGTCCCCTATAAAACTCATGCTGAAGTTTTAATCTTCATTACAAAATAAGAGGTAGCGCCAAGCAAGACCTTTAACGAGCATCTAGGGCTCTGCCTTTACAAACGGATCCAATCATGCAACTAATGAATTAACGGGTCTTCTGGAGAGTGGGTCAGCTGTGAAAGCCAGTTTGGCTAGGTCTCTCTCCCGCTGCCTGCCTCCTGCCATGTGATGATACCCTATGCCATTTCAGGACTCTGTGAACAATAAGACAATCACCAGATGAATTGCTAGACCAGGGATGGTGAACATTTTACAACTTTCAATGATACAAACAGTCCGCTGCAACATGAGTGCCACTGGTTCACCACTGCCGCAGATCTTGGACCTGAGCTGCAAGCCAAAATAAACATCTTTCTTTGTAACTTACCAGCCTGTGGTACTGTCACTAGTAACAGAAATGAACTAAGACATTCTAGAGTAGTATTAATACTAATATTAAAAGACCAGAAGAGCATCAATGCCATATTCTAATACACACATACACATGCATGCGCACATGTGCCCACACCCCAACTCCAGAGCCTCCCCCTTTCCTACAGCCTCATTCCTGGCCAGTGGCCCTGACCCTGGGACCCTGGGCTATGATGTCATCCCTTTGGGTCAGGAAAAGCAACAACAACCTCACAGGAACTGGCAGCCTGCCTTCCCCTGCTGGGCAACTTGCATACCCCATCTTTTTGTAGACCTTCTTGGGGGCCAGATGCCAGCTCCTTCTTCTGGTAACCACATGGTACCATATCAAGCCACTTTTGCTAAGCCGAACTTCTCTCCCCACTCTCATTTCCTAAGCCAAACTCCATGCAGAATCTGAGGCTACAGTTACACTTGGCTTCCTCCACCAGCGCTGGGGACATAACCCAGGCCTCACATATGCTAGGCAAAGATTCTACCGCTGAGTCACATGTCTAGTTCCTACCACCAGCTCACTTTTTAAAAAGATATCCTACTACAAGTGGTGGCACAGATCTTGCCTATTATGTACAAAGCCCTGGATTCAATCTCCGGCACTGGCAAAAGTTTAAGGACAAGTCCCCAAAGCCGACAGCATTTCCCACTGGGCCTGACCTCTCAAGGACTCTCAATTCTCCTGCTACTGAGCCTGAAGGGTGGCTGAATCCAGGTTCAGCCAAGCTTGCTCAGCACTCGGTCCTCCAAGGGGCCTCTCTTCCCTCCTGAGGGTAGCTGCTGCTTCTGAGGATTCCTCTGTGAGCTGAAGTTACCATCCCATCCCACTCCATGAGTTCTCATCTTGGCTCCAATTTAAACATTAACTGTTGTGTGTTCCTTTCACAGCCAGGATTAAATGGACAGAGCTGTGCCTGGGAGCTCAGCTCCCATGTTCCTACCTTTCTTCACAAATCTGCCAACTCCACTGTCCCTGAAACACCCGTCTCTCTCCAGAAAAGGAAAAAAAGAAAAGAAAAGAAACGCCCAAGTCCAAACTCATTTTCACTGACCTCAAATCCATCCGCACATTTGTTACTACCTAAACAAACAACAGCCTTCCTGATGTCACCACCTGCTCTTACTGGCCTCCAAGAGTCTAAAAGCAGCTGCAGTAAACAGAAGGTCAGGCCTGGCTAGGCTGACAGCCCTGTCAGCTGTACGGTTGAGTTCTGAGCTCTCCTTACCCACACTCTGCTGTACATGCTGACTCAGGGTGGCTGCAGTCTCCAAGCCAGGTGATGGCTCTGGATAGCGTACAATTCACACTACCCACAAGTCCCTAGGCCTCTGCATCCTTGGTCACTTTCCAGGCACCATGGCCTTACACAGCAAGGGAAGAGTTAAGCCACTGCAAAGCTCCAATACCTATGAATAGAGACTCCTCCCCTGGCTGGGACCTGGACCAGGCAGATTCGTAGCCTCTGTGGCCAGCCAGGGCTATATGCCCCACTCCATATATGGCTACACACCCAAAACCAGACTAGTTATATGCTGGGGGATTGGGCAAGACTGAAGGCTGACCCCTGCCTTCCCTAAACCTGTAGACTACACTCTGATCAGAACTAGGCTCTTAATCCCTGCAGCAGGCCTCAGCCAGACCCTCACTCTCCCATTGCCCCAGCAGGCACTCTGTGCTCCTCTGTGGGTGGGGAAGGGAGGAAATGAGTGCAGCCAGTACTTGGTAGGCGTGGAGGGCCTGGAGGCTGGGTTGGGCAGGGCTGTGGAGGGCGCTGGAGACACTGAGTCGGTAGTGCAGAACCTCCAGCTGAGACAACATACAGAGAGAAGCCAAGAAGAGGCAGGAGAAGACAAGGTGAGGAAGGGGAGACATGGGGATAGGACAGGGGGCAGGGGAAGTGGGGAGAAAAAGAAAACAATGAGGAGCCCAGATGGGGAAGGAGAAAACAAAAAACAAAAAACAAAAACAAAAACAAAAGCACGTCAGTGACAATCCAAACAATCACAACCCCAGCAGCTTGGGGCCAGCAAAACACCACCCTTCCTGGTGGCCCAAACCCAGGACCCAAACCACAGGCAAACCTGTTGTTGGGCCCATGTTGGGCACCCCTACTGGCCTTGTAGGCTGAGATTGAAGTGGAGCCTCAAGATCACTGGGGAAGCCCCTTCATGTTGCTGGGCTGACAGCCTCTTCAGCTGAAGTTCACCTAATTCTGTCATCCCACCAACTTGGAGACTCCATGTGATACCTGGCCCCTATGGCCCAGGACCTTAACTGGGATATGCTGAAGGCCATCAAGGCATAGAAGGGCTCAAGGGTCAGGAAAGAAATTTGGGGGAGCCAGTTTCAGGACTCTGTCCCAAAAACAAAGTGTAGTTGGCCCTCTACATCCATGGGTTCCACATTCACGGGTTTGATGGACTAGACTGAAACACCGTGGTGGTGGTGGTGGTGCATTTGTTCTGAACATGTACAGACTACCTTCCCTTTTTCCCTACTCATTTATTAATTCTTTCATTCATCAGTATGAGGAATTGAATGCAGGGGCTCTAATGTGCTAGACAAGTGCTCTAATACTGAGTCACAGCCCTAGCCCCAGTCTTTCTTGCTACTGGTTCCTCAATAATAGTATATAACTATTTATATATTTATATCTAGAGATGATTTAGTGTGTATGGAAAGACACACACAGGTTATATACAAATACTGGGTTATTTTATATAAAGGATTTGAAGATCCGTGGATTTTGGTACCTATGAGGGTCCTGGAACAAGCCCCCCCAAATACTGAGGGACGACTGTAACTTGTTAGACTTTCCTTGGTTGTCTTGAGAAGAAATTTACCAAATCAGTAGATACTATAAATGATGTGATCAATTCTTATGTGTCCAAAACATAATCAGTGTCCCTCTATGAGTGCGTCTCTCTCAGAACTGAGGACAGGGATGGGCTGCCAAAGTTTGGATCCCAAGGGTAGCACAGACTGAGCCCACCGAGCCAACCCTCTGCCCCACATCCCTCATACTCTCCCATAGTCTGGAAATGGTTAAAGTTATGTTCATCAGTTATAATTCTGGGAAGACAGCCTTTCCTATCTTATTAGGACTCTGCCTTCCAAATGCACAGAGCTCCCAAGGCAGAGTCCCCACATACCTACAAAGTCAGTGGGACCAAGGCTGGGACAGCCCTGGACAGCAGTGGTAACAGCAGAGCTGGCAAGCTACCTGGTCCCCACCCCAGGACTCTTTCCCCTACCTCCCTGCAGCATTGCTGCCTTTCAGCCAAGCATAGCCCAGAGGCACCCAGCACACTTCTTCCCCAAGCAGCATGCCTATGGGGGCTTCACACAGGTGAGACGCACTTGCCAGGCGCTGAGGTGACTCACAAGGAGGTGAGAGCATAGCAGGATAGCAAAGTCCTCTCCCAGCCTTCCTCTCAGCCAGACCCCAGGCTCAGAGAGGAACCGAGAAGCAAGGTCGCAGTGGAGTCCCTGCCCCTTCCCACTGGAACACAAGGGCTGGCATGGCCACTTCCAGGGCTGTAGCCATCACTGCCTCCAGCCACTGGGTAGTAAATACGTGCCCTGGACCCACACTAGGACTTTAGGTGCTGCGTTTTCACCATTTGGAAATCAAGGCTAGGCAGGGACTGGCAAGGATCTGTGTAAGGTGGGCCTAGTGCAAGCCCAAATACACAGTAAGAGGTCTTGGATGACGGGACCACCGCAGCTGTTTTCCTCAGTGCCCATCCACTCAGGTTTCATAGATTTTTGTTTTGTTCTCTGCCTCTATAGGAGGAGGTGAAGGGCAGAGCCTCTTAGATGCCCAGTCCTCTCCATGCCAGTCATTCTGGTACATCTTATCTCCCTAAGGTCTAAGAGGAAGCAAGTGTGGGGACAAAGGCTAAGGCACAGGTTCTCTATCAGAACCTGTGAAGACACAGGTGACCATCCAGAAAGGTCCTTCTGATTGGTCCTTGAAAGTGGTGTGACTGCCATTCACTCAGAAGACACCATGGGCAGACAGGAAAACAATGCAGCAACAGTCCCGCCTCTGCACAGCCAAGACACATGCACAGAGCTGAGTATCTTTTAGGTGCCCAAGAAAGAAGTTGGGCCCTGAGAACAAACCTAGGGGAAAGAAACCCAGCCCCCAGGCTACCATTTACCAGCCAGAAACATGCAGTGAATATAGGAAGCAGGCAGGGTATGGCAGGCTCTTGGTGGCTCAAGCACAGGATGGATAGTCTTGGGCCTTTCCCCATTTTCCTCCACCAAGGTGATGCCAAGGACAAAGTTTTGGAGCACCCTGTGCTTTAAGAGGAACAGTGAGAGCCAAGCCCCATCCTCCATACTAACCGCACTGGGGTCTTAGAACTGGTTGCAGAGACTGCAGTAGAAGCAGGACCACAACAATGGTCTTTCCTCAGAACTGGAGTTCAGTTACGGTATACACGTCTCAATTTTCACTTTTCAATTTTTTCCCCAGTACTGGGGATTGAACCAAGGGCCTTTACATGGACTTGAATCCTCAGCCCTTTTTGTGATTCCACCAAACTGGTCCTTTTTTATTGAGTCTCTCTTTTTTTTTTGGTACCAGGGATTGAACTCACGACCGCATGCTTGCAAGGCAGGCACTTATACTGCTGAGCTAAATCCCCAGCCCTATTCTGAGAGTCTTGCTAAACTGCTAAGCTGCCCAGGTTGGCTCAAATTTTCGATCTTCCCACATCAACCTCCCAGAGTGCTGCACCAGGTACTGTGCCTCCCATATGCTACCATGCCAGCTACCTCTAGACTTTTTTTGTGTTGTTTGTTTTGTCTTTTTGAGACAGGGTCTCAATATGCAGTTCAGTCTGGACTTGAGCTCACTCTGTAGCCTAGGCTGGTCTTGAACTCACAACAAGCCTCCTGTCTCAGCCTCTCAAGTGCTGAGATTACAGGCATGTGCCACCACCCAGCTAGACTTCATTCTTAAGGACACCCTCCAGAATTTTGCCTGGCATCAACAAATCAAAGTCTACAAAGCAAAGTGATGCACAGAAGCCACAGGCATCAGACTGAGGTGGTGACAGTACCTTGGGCATTGGACCAGGCATGTGTGTTTCAAGTTGACTCATTAGTGTCCACGGTCCATTCACTAACTGAACAGAGCCATTTCACCCTGAGGAACTCAGTGAAGTGCCTGGCCCAGGGACAGCAACACCAGGAAGTTCCAGGGACTCTGTCACATCCATACTTTGGCAAACAAGTGTCCTACCCAGAAAAGGAGAAAGGGGAAAGGCCAAGGAAGAGAAAGGGAGGGGAGAGGAAGAAGAGGGAGAATAAGGAGAATGAAAAAGACCAAGACACATGCAGAAGGATACAAGGCCCCACCCGCCACAAAAATGGCCACTTCTGATGCTCTCGAGGAGGTAAGGACAAGAAGCATAGGCAAAGGTTATTTGACTTCACCACAATGGCAGGTTTCCACCCAGGGTGACCACCCTTGAGAGCACAAAGATATTGCTGATTGCAAAGGAGAAACTGGGAATCACTCCCACAGGCATCAGTAGCTTCTCCTACCCCCACAGCGAGAGCATCAGAATCTCTGCTGTTCCCCTATCACAGAGGGAATTCTGAAAGCTCCATAATGAAGACCCAGAAAAGACATACCTCCTAGCATTAAGGGCCCACCCCTTGGAGTATAAGACCCTCAAACTATAGGACAATACTCATCTTGTATTAGGCATCTGAATGAGGGGTGGCTGGTGGGCTCTGCTTCCCACCATCCAGGTTGTGATAAGTAACTTAAGACTGAGAACAAGAAATAGCAAGTTGACCAGAGCCAGAAGCAGGAAACAGGAAGAACTGGAAACATACCTTGGCATGAGGGGACTGCATTTTCTGGTACAACTCCAAGGAATAATGGTGAAGCCACATTTCAACAAAAACCTACAAAAGAGCATTAGCTGATCAAAATGTTGAACAATAGCACCAAAACCAGTCCATGGGGAAAGGAGTCTCTCCAAGTAGTGCAAGGAAAATATTGTATCAATATATAAAAGAAGGAAGCTGAAACCTTCTTGTACCATATGAAAAAGTTAACTCAGTTGGACATGGTGGCACACCCCTATAATCCTAGCACTTAGACTGAAACAGGAGGATCACCAAGAGTCCAAGGCTAGCCTGGACTACATAGCAAGACCCTGTCAAGACAACAAAACAAAACAAAACAATTAACTCAAGGTGGATCAGCAATATAAATGTAAGCTAACACCATGAAACCGAAAAGAAAACATAAGGGGAAGACTTCATTACATCACACCTGGCAATGACTTCTTTTGACATGACACCAAAGCACAGGCAATGAAAGAGAACAGGGACAGGGATATAGTTCAGCAGCACAAGTGCCTGCCTGGCAAGTACAAGGCTCTAAGTTTGAGTCCTGGTACAAAAAAGGGGGAAAAAAAAAAGAGAGAGAAAAAGAAAAAGAGACAATGGGATGCCAAAAAGGCTTTCTTTCTTTTGGTGGCAATATTGGGGATTAAATCCAGGGCTTTTACATTGAGCTATATGGCCAGCCCCTTGTTAAAAGTTTAATTTTGACACAGGGTCTCACTAACTTGCTCAGTTGCCTGGGTTGGGCTTGAATCTGTGATCCTCTTGCCTCAGCCTCTTAGACTGCTGAGATTCTGGGTAAGCACTACCATGCCCAGCTAAAAGACACTATTGATAAAGTAAAAATATATGTCACTAAAGTTGGTATACCACCCCCCCACTGCTAAATTTGACTAGCTTAAAAAATAAATAAATAAATAAAGTAAAAATATAACACACCGAATGGGAAAAATACTTGTAAATCACATAAGTGACAAGAGTTTATTAAAAATATCTAAAGAATATCTAAAACTCAACAACAACAGAGTAAACCATCTGACTTAAAAATGTGCAAAGGACCTGGGCATAGTGACACACACCTGTAATCCCAGCACTTGGAAGGCTAAAGCAGGAAGATCACAGCTTGTGTTACAGTAAGTTTACAGTGTTACAGTAAGTTTAAGACCAGGCCACAGGGAGTTCAAGACCAGCCTGAACTCTTCTCATTCTCTAAAGATATACAAATGGCCAATTAAGCACAGGAAAAGAGACTGAACATCACTAACCATTAGGGAAATGCAACCAAACCACTTCACAGATTTTGGAGTAGCTATCATCAAAAAAGCAGAAAATACCAAGACATATTATGAATATGAAGAAACTAAAACCCTGTGTCCTCCTAATGGGAATAAAAAATAGTGTTGAATCTGTCAAAAGCTGTAGGGTAGTACTTCAAAAAAAAAAACATTTTTTTTAAAACATACAGCCAGGCATTGTGCAATCCCAGATCTCAGGCAGGGCTGAGACAGGAGGATTACAAATTCTAGACCAACCTGGGCTACACAGTGAGTTAACTCAAAGCCAGCTTGAACTACAGAGTGAGACCTATCACAAAACAATAAACAGCATCAAGCCAGCCTCTGCAAATTAAGAGATCATTTCTCAAAATGAGAAATGGGCTGAGGATGTAGCAAAAGCCCCGGATTCAATTCCCAGTAATACAAGGGGGGAAAAAAAATTAAACATAGCAGGCTGACGCAGGAGCATCACAAATTCAAAGCCAACCTGGGTAAATTAATGGGGACCCTGTCTCAAGTACAATTAAAAGAACTGGGGATACAGTTCAGTGGTAGAATGCTTACCTACCATGTACGAGACAAAAGAAAAAAGAATCACCATGTGATCCATCAATTCCATTCCTGGGGATATATCCAAAAGTTCTTAAGGCTGGGACTTGAGATATTTATACACTCCTGGCCATAGCAATCTTATTCCTAGAGCTAAAAAGCAGAAGCAATCCATTTTCACTGACAAATGAATCCTAAGCAGAATGTGTACATCCATATGTGGGATATTATGCAGCCATAAAAAGAAGGACATTCTGACACATGCTATAACATGGAGGAAACCCAAGGACCTTATACTGAGCAAAATAAGCCAGTCACAAAAGACAAAAGCTATTCTAGATAAATACTCTAGACATGAAGTACCTAGAGTGGTCAAATTCTTAAGAAACAGAAGGCAAAACAGTGGTTCTAATAGCCTCAGAAGAGGAGAAAATGGAATCACTTAAGGGGTACAATTTCAGTTTCTAAAGATAACAAAGCAGGCTGGGGTTTAGCTCAGCAGCACAAGTGCCTGCTTGGCAAGCATGAGGTTGTGAGTTCAATCCCCGGTACTAAAAAAAAAAAAAAAGTATATATAAAGATATCAAAGCATTTTTGTGATTAGCATAGTAGTGTGAATACTACTGGATAGTACACTTAGGAACGATTAAAAGGTTAAAACTTACGTTATACATACTTTACAATAATTAACATTTTTTAAATTAAAAACAGTTCAGTGTTCTGGTCTAGGAAACAGAACCCTCCAACATTGTTCTGTTAGCATACATCTCAGTCATCTGCCCACTTCATAGCTAGCAAAGCCCAGAGCTCACATCAGCTCAGGCCTTCTGCACCATCACATCGCCTCTTAACAGTGATGACAATTTCTAGCATTTCTGGTGCTACGGCAAAAATAACCTGGAAGGTTCTAAAAGCATAGCACTGCTCACACCAATTATGTTCATATAAGGAGACCAAATTACATCCTATGTTTTGGGCTGTCAAAAGCAAAGCTGTGGGCCAGGCGTGGTGGCACATACCTGCAATCCCAGCATTTGGGAGGCTGAGGCAGGAGGACTGCTGCAAGTTTGAGGCCAGCCTAGGCTATATCGTGAGTTCAAGGCCAGTGTGAACTACATAGTGAAACCCTGTCTCAAAAAAAAAAAACAAAACAAAAAAAGGGCCTGGGGATTTAGCTCAGCGGCACTAATACCTGCCTGGCATGTGTGAAATTTGAATTCAATCCTCCGTAGCAAAAATAAATAGATAAATAAAATAAAGGGGGTGCCAGGTATATAGGTAAGTGGTGCAGTGCCTGCCTGGCAAGTACAAGGTCTTGAGTTCCATTTCTGGTACCCACAAAAAAACTGACAGTAATGCTGTGGCTACCGAGTCAGCTCCAGAACCTGTACCAGAACCTACTGATTTACTCTTTTGCACAGAGGGGCAGGACTGGTAAGAGAATGGGCCAGCCAAGACCTTTACTGATAGAGCACTACTTAGCGAGTATGATATCCTGGGTTCAGTGAGGGGTGCACAGTGTGTGTGCACAGATTTCTTACCTATTTTCTACATGTCATAGCATGAAAATACTGACATTTAGAAACACTCACAGGCTGATGGGATTTGAGAACCACCCTCATGCTTCAGGAGTCCACTCTACTTGCTGAACATGTTAGGGGCTATTTTCTTTTTTTTAATTTTTATTTTTAGTAGCACATGTTTGCAGGACATAACCATCACATCCATTGTGGGAAATTAGTACATGTATATAACATGTGAATTCTTTTTGTTTCCCTTTCTCCACTTTCCTCCTCAACAGTCTGTTCTGAAATGGAGGCAGACAGTGTTATATTAAGCTCCAGTTCTGGCTCTGTCAAAGTTGCAAAAACCTCTTTCCCTCTATGTTGATAAAAAACAAGGGATAGCAAAAGGAGTACTGACCCAGAGTTTAGGACCATGGCAAAGGCCTGTTGCCTATCTTTCCAAGAGACTTGATAATGTGGCAGCCCGATGGCTGCCTTGCCTGCAGATGATTGCCTTGGTGGCCCTCCTGGTAAAAATGGCCCAAAAGGTGACATTTAGACAAAAACTTTAAATTATCTCCTCTCATTCACTGGAGACTCTCATCAAAGCTTCACCGGACGGATGGCTGCCTATCAGGCATTACTTCTGGATCTGACTACCATCAGTTTCAAGGGGACAGTGTCTTTAAACCCAGATATTCAGCTGCCTAATGATGACCTCTCCTTGCCCCTCTGATCATTTCATGGGGCTTTGACCAGACTTGACAGACGAGCCACTGTCCGGAGTTCCATCATATTTCTCTGATGGAAGCAGTCACATCTATCAAGGTAAGCAGGTCATGGGAGCCGCTGTCACAGATTCTCAGATTCTATGGGAACAAACCTTGGAGCCAAAAACATCAGCCCAATGGGCTGAACTCATTGCCCTCACTGAAGCCCTCAAGTTGTCAGACTGATAGCAGATATGCATTTGCTACTGCCCATGTTCATGGGGCCATTTATCAGGAATGAGGTTCATTGACTTAAGGGGGCCAAAAGATAAAAATGCTCCCCAAGTTTTGGATTTGTTAGCTGCCATTTAGATGCCAAGAAATACGGCTATTAAATAATCTAACAGATGCAGCTACCCAAAAAGCAGCCACAAAATCAGTGGGGATTGAGACAATCCCAACATTGCTACTGATTCCACCCACTCTGTCAGAGCCCTTTTACACTCAAAAAGACTTACATTTGGCAGCTCAACTCCAAGCAAAGTCTGATATCCCTGGAGGCTGGTACCAACTGCCTGATAATCGAGTCCTCCTCTTCGAGGTCTTGAGATAAAAACTAATCCAACAAGCTCATCAGTCCGCTTACATGGGAGGATCAAAACTCGCTGCTCTTTTTGAGATCATTTCTTTATCCCTCAGTTATCAAAGCTTACTCAGTCTGTGAGCCTTAGAGGCCCTCAGTGCCAGTTGGTAAACCCTAAACAACCACAACAAATGAAAACCACTTGGTATCGTGGGACTATGCCTAAAAAACATTAAAAAATAGAGTTCACAAAAATAAAAAAGCCTAGACTTTAAAAAAATGAGGACTGATAGATAGCTTTTCCTACTAAGTCTTGAGTCAGCCCTGATAGCAGTTTCCCCAATTTGGCCTCCCTTTATCCATGGGGTCTGACAATGGCCCGGCTTTTCTAGCCCAGATAACTCAAAAACTAACCCAAGCTTTGCAGATTGATTAAAAACTCCATTGTGCTTACCGGCCTTAAAGTTCAGGACAAGTAAAAAAAATAAACCAGAATTAAAAATGGTAATAACTAAGATGGCATTAAAAACTGGCGAGAACTGGGTGAGTCTCCTTCCTTTTGCCCTCTTATGTGCGCAATGTACCCCCTATGTTGCAGTTGTTTCCCCTTTAAAGTTCTATGTGGGAGACCTCCTCCTCTTATTCCTAAGATTTCTGAAAAAAAAAAAAATTAGCTGATCTGGCTAATCAAGATCTTGTTAAGTTCCTCCAGGCCCTTCAGCTAGCTCTGACTTCCATCCACCAGTTATTCCGAGAACAACAACCTCTGCCTGCAACCCATCCTAAGGATAAACGTCCTGCAGTAAAACCTAGGACACTACTCATCAAGAGACATCACTGTGAGTCTCTCAAACCGTGTGAGAAGACCCTTACACCGTGGTCCTCAGCACTCTGACTGCCGTCAAAGTCACAAAAAGCCTGCCTCGATTCATCATTGCCACTTCTAGCCAGTTCTGGCCTCTGACAGCGATCAACCTACAGATAAGTGGACTGTTGTTCCCTTTAAGGATTCTTTAAAGCTTAAGATTGCCAAATGTATCTGATAATCTTGTTCTTAGGTGTTATTCCTCATGGACACCCCAAGGAGATACCTTGTAACCCACTGTTTAAAACTTAAAATTACTATTTCACTGGTAAATTATTGGTAGCCAATGCTACTGTCTATGAGATAATTAAGATAGATTTATGTTCCCTATTAGATAACATCCCAACAAAAATTAAACAAAAAAATGTTGTTGGGTTTACATGTCATGCTGCCTGATTGGTTGCTAATAGAGACTTATATATTCAAAAAAAATTATAGTCCACTGGCTGGTATCTTTGCCCCCAAAACCAACAGCCAGCCTCTGATCATAGGTGTTCAGTCCATAGAGACAAAATATTTTTGTAGACATTGGGGTTATAAATTTATATATCCTTGACAGAAAAATAAAGGGGGTCATTACCTTTTTCCTCACTCTAGAGACCCCATCTTCTGTTCTCCTCCACTAGACTTCCTACTCCTGAGACCTTTTTGCCCTTTGCAATTTCTGTGCCATCTCTAGCCCCTTCTTGCCTCTAGACATTGCTTATGGCAAATTAACTTTTAAATTCCTGTACAGACGCACCTTTTGTTGGTGAGATGCTAAGTCCCTGCTCACACTAGACAATGTACAGGGTGCTCCAGAAACCTGTGTTTACTCTGCCTCCTACTCCTTGCACACTTCCCCTTATGCTGCACTCTGTAATCTAACCTTTTCAGTGTGATTCATAATTTTTTGTATCCTGCTAATCAGCACCTTGTTACTCCCAACGAAACCTGGTTTGCCTGTACTTCTGGCATAACTCCATATTCTATGCATCACCTGTTCACCCAGCACCCTGAGCTTTGCATATTGGTTCATATTTTTCTCCAAGTGTATTAATACTCTAGAGATAATGATAAGAGTCATTTGCTCCCTAGCTTTAACTTAAAGAGTCTGGTCCAAATAAAGAAAAAATCCTATATTATTACCTATATTTCTAAAAATTGAGGTAACAAGGTCAATAAGTTTAAGAGTGTCCAGCCTAATAGTCAAAAGACCAATATTATAGACACTACGTACACTCATTGACCAAGATTTAGCAGCCCTTAGTGACTCTGTCTCCAAATTAGACGATTCCTTAAGTTCACTGACTGAGATGGTTTTACAAAACCGGCGGGGTCTAGATCTCCTGTTCCTAAAAAAAAGAGGTCTCTGTCTGGCATTAGGAAAAAATTGTTGTTTGTATGCCAATCATTCTGGGGTTATCAGACAAAATATGGCCAGCCTTAAAAGGCGGCTACAGGAATGAAAACAAGCCAGACAAGCTAAACAGAATTGGTTTGAGCGATGGTTTTCTCTATCTCTCTGGTTGACAACGTTAATCACAGCAGCCTCTAGACCTCTGTTAATCTTACTTGTTTAACAATTGGACCTTGCATTATAAACAGATTAATAAATTATGTCAAAGACCAGGTTCAAACAATAAAACTCATGGTTTTAAGGACACAAATTTATAAACAAATACCACTGCTTAAAAATTCCATGAGCTAATGATTTGGCTTACTGACAAAAATCAGTGGGGAATGTTATACTAAGATGCTAAAAATTAAAATCATTGATTAAAAGATAATTAACAAAAATAGTTACTTAAAAAGATAGTCATTAATAATATTGTCATTCTATACTGAGCTCATTACCCTAGTAACCAAGCACCAACCACATAGTTATAAATTAACTAACCGCGTCGTTCTGCTGTTCTGTAACGTGCCATCCTCCCCCCACCTTACTGACCTGTGTGCTATGTCAACTTTTGTTCCCCTTGTGAGAGACAAATGATGCTGTGTCAACCATTGTTCCATTTATGAGAGACAAATGTTCCTAGAATTGGCAGACCAAGGGCTATAAATTGCCTAACCACCCACTGTAAAATGCCTCTGACCTCAAGCAAAGGGGAACAAGGCCCACCTTATTTCTGTTTCTCATCACTATGTACTTAATGATCAATGAGCTAATCATAAATGAACTATAAAAATCAATCAAAACTCTAACTCAGTTGCACAGCTTTGCAAATTCCATCTGCACTGTGTCGCTGGGCCAGCTAAAATAAACGTGCTTCTTTTAAAAAGACGTCTTGCCCCATTTGTCTTGGGGTCTTGCCCCATTTTTCATCATGGGGCCTTGCTTTTTGAGTAGAGTACAACAAGAGTTCTCTCAGTAGCTCACCTGGAGAAGAGTTTCTGACCTCCAGATCTCCTGGGAGGCAGGGTCTGCGTTCACAGATGTCTGATGAGAGATATGTCGCTTCAGGAGGCTGGTGTGATGGAGGCCATAGGAGGCAAAGGGCATAGCTGGAGTCCTGATGGTGACATAAAAAGAGGCCTCAGTTAGGGATTTCTGCTGGCTAAGCCAGGGACAATCTGGACACAAATATAATGATGTGGGTAACCAATCACAATACACTGAATCATACAGAATGATTTCTAGGTCTACACTGATATATTTGAATAAACAAACAGGGAAAAGTCTTCCTTACCACTTAACAAATTAAAGAGAGATGAAGTTAAAAAAAAAAAAAAAAAAAAAACATTCAGCAATTGCTCAATTAATAACTGATTTGGCCAAGATGCTAACATGATTGATAATTATATACTCTCAACATATCTTCCCACTAAATCATCAGTATTAACTTAAGCACAAAGTACAAATTTATAGTATAAAAACCAGGCTGACACTCCAAGCTTATGTCATCAGTAATGGGGAAAAGGACATCACAGGGGCTGGGGATTTAGCTCAGCAGCATAAGCGCCTTCTTTGCAAGTGTGCGGTCATGAGTTCGATCCCTGGTACTGATAAAAATGAAAAAGACAAAAAAAAAAAAAAAAAAGAAAAGAAAAGAAAAAAAAAGACATCACAGATCTCCTGACTGGGTGTTTGATAAGGACCTGGTGCCACCACAGCAGTGTTCCTGCCCACAGAGCCCAAAATGGGCCTGGTCATGAGCAGACAAACACCAGAGAGCCCACATAAAAGAGCATCTTCAGTTAACCTGTGCACTTAAGGGGTCAAGGCTGGGAAAGATAAAAACTGAAGGGCACCAGAAGACCACTGCACACAATGGTCTGATGCCAGACCCTAGCCAGATAATAGCTGGCGATAAGCCCTACAAATGGCTGGAGGATTAGGTGGTAGCAGTATTGGCTTCCTGATGTGGACAGAAGTACCAAGGTCATGGAGGAGAATGTACTAGCTTCTAGAAAATGCACTCTGGAATACAGAGAAGTCTGGGAAGGCACATCTGTAACTTGCTCTAACAGCTCCCTTGAGGAGTAGTAAAATACTGTACTGATAAGTGGAAGAGAAGATAAGAGACACGGCAAAGTGTCAATACTTCTGAAGTCTGGGTCAAAGGACTATGAAAGTTCTTTATATTATGCATGGCATCTTTCCTATAAATTTGAAATTACTACAAAATAAAAAGTTGAAACAATCAAGAAAACTGCTTGGCAACTGCATTCTGCCTTCAAGGGCATGAATCCACCCCATCTCCAAGTCTTCCTTCCCAGGTGCAATAGTACCACCATGCCAGGGTCATCACCCACTGTTACCACCTAGCAGCCTCTCTGAGAGCACCGGATCACATGTATGTGTGTAAGTGAAGGCATAGCCCGATGTGCATATGCCAACAGGTGTGGGCTGAACCAGCATCTACAGCCTCCCAGGAAAGGAGCAGTCCAAAGAAGAGAGGGAATGGGCAGAGGGGCCAGGTCAGAAGGGGCTCCCAGAGAAGAGCTGGCCACTGGGCCCACCTAGGCCTCATGGAGCCAGCTAGCGAGCTCCCAACTCACCCTCACACTGAGGTGCCAGTGTCAGGCTCAACCTGTGTAGCCTAGTATAAAGGCTCTTCTCTCCAGCCTTGCTTCCCCTCCCTAAGCCCACATGGGACAATCTTTCCACACCCTCACCTTGCTCACTGGCTCAGTGGGTCTTAGACACTACCGGCAGTGAGAACTGCTACAGATAGAACCCAAGTATGTTATACATGCTGTCAATGAAGTCAGAGACCTGACAGCCTCAGTGATGGCCACAGACCACTAGAGACAAACTCAAAATGTTCTTATGGCTGCATTGGGATAGCCAGTGTTACAAAATGAGGTGTAAGAAAAATTAGGCAATCTTGGAGAAAGGGTGGTACCAATGTCCCCATGGGTGATGGCCATGACCAGGTAACTCTCTCATAGAAGGGCCACATCTTAATGAACAAGGAAGCCTTACCTGGGAGCTGGTGATGGGCTGGCCCCACCAGGGCTGGTGGAGAGTGGAGGGGGAACACTGCCTTCAGTGGGCAGGAACCAAGACAGGTACCTGTCCACCAGGGTGAAATAGGCACAGTCTGAAGTACGGACACGGAGGGTCACGGGCAGTGGCTAAAAAACCAAACTCATCATTAGTGTGGGCTCTGGGCACCACCCTGGCCTCCTCCAGGTACAAGTAACCACAGGGACACTTCAGGTTAAGCCCCAACCCTTCACAGCAGGATGTGATAAACAAGCTGCACTCAGAGGCATCCTTCCTGTACCTTCTGAGTGATGAGGCTCAAAGCAAAGTAGAATATGTAATACTCAAACGGATCTGTTGGCAGGGTTAAGGAGTAAACACAGGGTTGGTGGGCCACCCTCCAATGACATGTGCCGACCACTGACAGCCTCCCCACCCTGCAGGCTACCAAAGGATACTAAGCGCCAAGTTCAGGCCAAGGCCCCCAGTCGGGGGAAACTGGACCTTGTTATGATACAGAGGGCTGTCAGGGAGGATGTGCTCCTGGATGGATGCCTTCACCGGGCCCTGCAGAGACAGGAAGATAGGCTTGTAGGCAGGCACCAGCATGGTGCCCCCCAGGCAGTGCAACTCTTTGGGAAGGCTGCTGAGGAAGAGGTTAGCATTTAGAACCTGCCTGTGGAGACAGGACCCTTCTTCTGGAACTTAGATAACAGACTTTGCTTAGAATTTTTCTTGTCATCCTCACAAAAAGTCCAAATAGGAAGGAGAACGGTGGAGTGTGCTTTTGAGCCCATTCTCCTTTGCCTCTCATATCCACTGAGCAAGTCACTCCTCAACTTGCTCCTGAAAGATGGCAGACTCAGAAAAGGAAAAGAACCTGTCACATCACCCTGCCTGCCAGTAGGTCAGCAACAAACCATAGTGTCCTCTCTACTGGCAGCGTTTATAATAATCTTTTGAAAAGATGCTATTACAAGTTCTAATTTGTGATGCCTTCTAGGTCCTGCCTCCTGCCTCGGGCCACCACCCCTCTAGACCCCTGCCTGCTTACTACCTGAGCCACTTTTTCAGACCATTAGCCTCAAACACCACTCTCACCATCATAGTTTACTTACAGGTAAGTAGGAAACAGGAAAGTCAAACTTATAGTCTTCAGCTTGAAGCTTATAAACCAACTTCATCATTGGGCCACTGTATATAAAATTTAAAAAAAATAGCACAAATGAACTGCAAGCTATCTCACTCCAATTTCTTAATTTAATAAGTAGAGTGATTTAAAAACAAGATCACAAGGAAGTATCTAGCCCTGCATAGGCAGCCAACCTACCTACCCAGGATCTAGAAATTCCATTACAATGCTGTACTCTATAGGGTTCACACGGCCCTGCAGGCACCGGAGATTCCAGCCAACAAGGACGCCATCCAAACTGCCGAAGATGCTCTCGACCAGCAATGGGAAGATGCTGTGCAGCTCCTGAAACAGTGCGGGGAGGCTGGAGGCAGATCTGTCAAGGGCCAGTGCCCACTCCCATCCCAGCTGCTGTTCTGTACCATGTACCCCCCACCTCTCTCTGAAAAAATCACTCCAGGTAGAGACTCACAGGATCACTTATCTCACAGGAATGCTGGTATAATGTTGAAAAGCATTTTTGAGGTCTTCTACTGGGGTTACAGAGCAGACCAAGCAACACTGCTTTATATTTAGGCTGGTTAAATAAGCCAGCTTGTGATTTAAAATGCAGTTTAAAAAAAAAATCAGCTGGGCATGATGACTTATCCTATAATCCTAGCACTTGGAGGCTGAGGCAAAGGGGACTGTCATGAGTTCAAGGCAGGGCTACATAGCAAGACCCTGTCTATAAAACAAAACCAAAAACCATAAAACACCTAAACAAATAAAACAATACAAACCTCTGATCTAAAGAGAGCTACTAAAAAGGTCAATATTAAAATAAATAAATAAATAAATAAATAGGTCAATATTGCTCATTCTCAGTGAAGTCCCTGAAACAAAACTATGTATCATTTGGTATTAACCTATTCAGGCCAACTTCCTGGGCCTGACAAGTATAGTAGTTGTAAATTAACTACATATTTAAAAAATATTTACCATAGGGTTTTTCTACCTTGGCATTGTTGAAATTTTGGGTTATACATTTTTTGTGATGTAGGGGATTATCCTGTGTATTAATTCCTGGTCTCTATCCACTATAGGTATATACAATAAGTGTGCATATGGCATGCCCCAAAGAGAGATGCTGTACCTTTGCTGGAAAATCCTCAAAGACTTTTACCAAGTCTTGGCACCTCTGTGCAAAGGGCTTATTTATAGAGTCAGCCTAAAGAAATAAAGTGGAAAAAAAAAAATCACAAACATATTTTCTCTATATGTTTTGCAGGTATTCTAGCTTGAGTCAAAATGATAATCTAAGCAATAGACATGAGTCAGACACACAGTCACTGATCTGGTTCCCCAGCACCTCATACATCAGGTTCTACATGTGTTAGTGGCCCGGAGGATGCTACTAAAAGGGAGAAGATATAGGTCTATGCTCTTTAGACTAGCTCTTCTCAGGCTTACTTCTCAGCATGGTCCTCAGACAATCAGAGCACTGTGCAATATCAGAATCAAATAGACCTCCACCAACCCATAAGCAGAGATTCAGTACCACAGTCAGCTCCACAACCAGCAGACTACCCCTAGTGTACAGGTTACCTCTTGTAGTCTACGAGTACTCGCTGAGTCTGTACAGTATGAATCAGCACTTCCCACCTCACCAACCATGATTACACTACCATAATCATTAGTGAGAATATCTAAGAAATCAAAGATTATAGCAGAAGCATTTTCTCTCAATTAGTAGGAAGGAGGAGTTAGAGAGAAAGGACAGCCTTAAAAAAATAAAGTAGGGGCCAGGGATTTAGCTCAGTGGTGTAAGTGCCTACTTGGCAAGTGCAAGGTCATGAGTTTGATCCCCAGTATTAAAAAAAAAAAAAAACCAAAGCTCTGGCTGGGGATTTAGCTCAGTGGCATAAATGCCTCTTTGGCAGGCACAAGGTCATGAGTTTGACCCCTGGTACCAAAAAAATAAATACATAAAAATAAAAATAAAAAATAAGATAGCCTAAAACTATACATAGCCTCATCCAAGTAAACACTAATCATGAAGGCAGCAAAGAGAAGAGCAAATATTTAGCATAAAAATTGAGGAAATCTACCCAAAGTCATGGAGGAAAATAAGCACAGTGACTACATAGTAAAGGCATAGTGACTCCATAGAGAAGAGAATTCTGTGTAAACAAGTTAAGATCAGGTGGTGTGACCCAATTTTTTTTTTTTTTTTTTTTTTTTGGTATTGGGGATTGAACTCACAACTTTGCACTTGCCAGGTAGGCATTTATGCCACTGAGCTAAATCCCCAGTCCTGAGAGGCTCAATATTAACAATAGGGCTTTTCCCAAGGATGTCTAACACCTTGCCCACCTCCAAACACAGGTGGACATTACAGGCTCTGAGTCACAGATAGAAGCCTGAGCTGTTCAAGTGATGGGTCAGACTTGTTGGCTCTAGTGATATATACAAAGGAAAAATGTCCTTACTAATAAATGTTTATAAAAAGCAACTCTAGAGAACTAAAATTAGAAATCTGTCACCAATACCATCCCAGACCTGATTTCTCAGTATCATCTTTAGTACTTAAAATGCAATCTCAAATGCCCCCATCACAGCAGTCCCCCTCCATTTTTCACTGATAATAGCTATTAGAACACTCCATATGTGCTTAAGGATTTGTGAATCATGAACATTCTGATGCACAGCTTTCTCATGTACTCTTCCCCCTACTCTGCAAAGTATGAAAATGGCATTTGAATTAACTCATTTTGTAGCTGGGATATCTAGAGCTCAGAGGTTGAATAAATCCAAGGTCCTATACTAATAGAAAGGCAAATTCATGCTTAATCACTCTAACTCTGAGCCTTATGGTATTCCTATCACATGTCCCTAAAAAGCAACTACTAGAATTCTTTGAAACAAGAAAGAATTGTCAAGTTCCTCAGCTATACAACTACTGTCACTCTGACACTTCAAAGGCAATTGATATTTACCAGTAGGGAGCTAGGCTGTTGTAGGTGAGGGAATGCCATTGTAGCCTTTCTTGTAGAGTTGAAAATGGTCTTAAGAAATCACTGTGGGGAAAAAAAAGAGTGAAATATCAATATCTGCCACACAACAAAGTATTATGGAGTTCCACAATGCCCAGGAGAATATTTGCATAACTCAACACACACTACACTGTCAATTCCATATTTTATAGAAATGTCATTCTCATATAATCCATGGGCCAGCTTCAGACCAGGGGTCTTTGGTAATGTTTGTACAGCTCTTGATACATGCCAGGACTGGTTCTGAGTGTTTTCTATACATTTCCTTCTACACATTTTATCTTCTGTGATATACAGAAATCTAAAGATAGCTTCCCCCATTCCAATCCCTTGGTTATTCAATCAAACATGATTTTACAGATGCGATTAAAGTCTCAAGTCAACAGACCTTAAAATTAAGGGCACTCTCCAGCTGACAGTTCTACAACTCCAAGGAACTGGTTTCTGTCAGTAACCTCAATAAACTTGGGGGCAAATAAGAGCAAAGCCACCAACACACTGATTTTTTGACTTGTAATACCCTAAGCAAAGAATCAAGCTTGGGCTTGCCTAGATTTCTGATTATACATCTGGGAGATAACAAATGGTGCTGTTTCTTGTTTGTGTTTTGGGGTGCTGAGGATTGAACCCAAAGCCTTCACACTGAAATACATCCCCTGTCCTTTTTGACACAGGTCGCACTAAGTCATGAAGTTGCCCAGGCTGGGCTTGAACTTTTAATCCTCCTGCCACCCTAAAAGGGTAGTATTTTAAGCTGCTAAGTTTATTAAACAAAAATAATTATCATCACAACAATCTTATAAGGTCAGCACAGATGAGGAAACAGGGAGAAGGGGCTAGCTCACTTGCCCTACCCAGAGAATAAACAGCAGAACCAAAATTCAAATAAATAAATCTCATAAACTTCTCATAAGCAGGTGGTTAAAGCACATCACCTGTGCTCTATGCAATAATGAAAGCAGAAAAGCCAAGAGAACCTTTGAACAGGTCATCAGAAAATTTCCAGATTTCTACATCTCTGCCCAAACTGGTCAGAAACTAAAAACAGCCAGAGTTGGACTGAGCAGAGAGGAAGTATGCAGAATTCTATCGATGGGACAGTGATCTTTCCTGGCACAGTTTTATCTAGCACATGTGAAGACAGTGAGGTGGCAACTGGCAGAGTACATGGAGGGAGAGATGCTGGCCACAAGGAGATCCGGAAAGCAGTTAGAAGGAGATGTAAGTCTTTGTCATTTCAAAGAGGACATCTCCCAAATTTTTTAAATTCTTTACTTTAGCTGTCGAGTTCAGTGTTAAGGAATACCTAAAATGCCTCAGTATTGACGTACTTGGTCAACCAAACACTAAACAAACCCAAATTTACCAAAGCAGCATAAAACTAAGACTGTTTGATAAGGGCAATGTGTTAGAAGGGAAGTAAAAGCATCTCTTGCTCAAGGAGGGTGGATCACCAGCAGCTGAAAGAATGAGGTCTGGACCTGTCAAACTCAGATCTTTCCCTGAAGAGGGCAGTGCCTCCCAACACTCATTTTTTCATCCTGTCAAGGTCACGCTCCCCTCATCATATCCCTTTGCATGCTGTGTACAGAGGGTTCGCTTCATCCCGCCCCTTCAACATCCACTTTCTTTAAGAACTGCTTTGAACTCTATTTTGGGATTTCTTCTGATAGCACCGGTCCTTGCCAACGCCAAGGAGGCCAAACGTCTCGCCCAACTGCCAAGACCTTCTGGCCAATGAGAAGCAGCAGCATGCTCCAATTTGTTGCTGACAAATCTTCTATGGAGGTAAAGCGTTGAGACTCCTCTATTAAAGAGGATAGATGAACTGTGGCTGAGAAAAGTCCAGTCACATTAGAGAAAAGGCAGGAGTCGCAACCCGCTTATCGAACCTTAAACCCAAACCTCTCCTTCCCTCAATTCATCAGGCGAATGTTAACCGACCTCATACCGAGACGAGATGTATGGGTTGCGCGAGAAGGTGTCACAATGTCAGAGCCTGGAAGGGTGGTATGAAGATTGTAATAAGGACTCAGACGGAGCCCCTCTCCTCCCTCGACCCCATCGGTCCAGCCCAGTAGGGTGGCCGGTGCCCAGCCCGAAACCCTGAGATCGCAGAGGAAGAAAGACGGCCTCTTCCGGGGGCACGAGGAAGCTCAGGGACACGGAACTGTCCCGCGCGTGGCTTCAGCCACTCACCTGCGGGACCTTCAACAGCGCAGGCCTAAAACTGAAAGCCGCCATTCACCCGCCGGGCGTCAAACTGTCGTCATCAATCTGCGCGCAACGCCACGCCACGCCCCCCCGACCCGGCGGGAAAATTGCTCCCAATTCTTAGCTCGGCTACCTCAAAAGGCGCGTGTGCAAAGTAAAAGCCCGCCCCGTTGGATGCAGGGGTGCTAAGAGCGCATGCGCAGAGGTGGCTTTACTCCCCTTTGGCCTAGACTTAACGCGTTTTTGCCGTAGCAGGGGATTCCTGTGTGCTTAAACAGAGGCCGTTTATTAGGGCCTGCCACCGCTCTTTCCTAGTAGGGAATCTGTACAGTACTGTACAGTTTATGCCCTTCATTTATTGAGCGCCTACTATATACCAGCCTCTTCCCTAGGTGTTGCTACCAAAGGAAGCATAACAGTCCAGTCTAGTGCGGAAGGCCTGATCTGCAAGAAGCGGAGCTCTGTGCTCTCCTACAGATCCCCTACGCCTGACACACTGTAAGCAGCTAGTAAGCCTAGTAAGCGCTCAAGAAGCCTATCTGTAAAGATCGAATGACTCCTGGGTTGGCCCTGCAGGGAGAGGATCGGCCAGGAGAGGGTGCCACAGGGACTTACCTCTGTGAGGAGGGCGGGGCCAGGAGCACTCCCCCCCCCCCTCCCGCTGTTAGCCGCGATGGCGGCGGCTGGCAGCGGGCTGGAGGCAGCGACCCTTCAGAAGCTTGCGCTGCGGCGGAAGAAGGTGCTGAGCGCCGAAGAGATGGAGTTGTACGAGCTGGCACAGGCAGCGGGCGTCGCCATTGACCCCGACGTGTTCAAGTGAGCAAGTGCGGGTGGGGGCCTCGCGCTCTTCTGTGCTTTCACGCCCCTTCTGGCGCGGGCCTGCTGGTTTAGAAAACCTGCCTGCCCCGCACGCGCCTTGTCAGAGTTTTTCGGATGGCCCAGCAGGTCCGTGCTTGCTAGAGCAGGCTCTGTCCCACCGCGGAGCGGGCTCATTGAGCACGGTGTTTGTTCTCACCAGGATCCTGGTGGACCTGCTGAATCTGAACGTGGCCCCTCTTGCCGTCTTCCAGATGCTCAAGTCTATGTGCGCCGGGCAGAGGCTGGCGAGCGATGCCCAGGACCCTGCAGCTATGTCTCTGCCCACCACCAGCGTGCCTGAGACTCGAGGTCAGAGCTGGGCCCCGTGCTCCCAGCCCCGAGTGGCAGGGGTGGCAGGGCACAGTGTCAGCTTGGTTCTTGAATGGCCAGGCTTATGAGCTCTGTCTTCCCGGGATATACAAGGTCAGGTTCCAGGCATTCTTGGGAGTGAACTTGCAGATCAAGTGTTCTCAACGGGGAGTTGACTGGTCCAAGTAGGATAGGGTTTTACTGCCCCAGCTTTTTCTCTCATCATTCATACCTTCATTCTGCAGAAATAAAGGTGGCTTTGGTACCTGATATCTTGGCATTTATAGCCTCCAGGGTCCGAGAATAGTGTAGGCACCCCTTTCTTGTACCCAACCTGTGCCCAGATTCTGGCCAGCTGGGCCTCCCATGGACAATTGCAAATGTCCACTTTGCCTCTGGTGGCTGCTCCAACATGTCATCCTAGTGTGTAGCTTCTGCTCAGGGTGGCTATCTGGAACCTTCCAGGCAAATGGAAAGAGGACCTGGGTTGGGTCCCTTGCCTGGAAACACTCACACACCCACACAAGCATCCTGAAGAAGGGCAGAAGGTAAGCCAGGGCCCCTGTGGGCCTGTGGGGAGATGTGCCAGGACCCTGGGAACCCTCATGTCCTGGCCAAAAAGACCTGGGCAATGACATTTAGGCCTTCTCACTGACCCACCCTCTGTCTGCTGTCTTTGTGTCTCTTTCTCTGACCTCCAGAGGCCTCCTTTCTCTGCCAGGAACAGTACCCCCCCTGCAAGGTCTTCCTTTTCCTCAGCCCTGCGGCCTGCGGCCTCTCCAGTACTGCTCCACGGCCCAGCTGCCATGCACTCGCCTCTCTCTCCAGGGCCCCCTGCTTCCCTCCGGTTCTCTTGCTGCCTGTTCTCTCCTTTCACAGGTTGCGTTTATTAGCTTATCTCTGGGGGTTTTGGTGTGCTGTTTTGTGTATGGAAACTGTCAATTGCCTCTCAAGACCAGACCAGCTTTGAGCTGCAGGAGCAGGATCGTGTGGGCTGCATCTGCCACAGTTTAGAACCAGGTCATGCTTTCTGGCTTTATCAACGACAGTATTTCTACAACAGGCAGTCAGGCTAATGTCAAGGAGGAGACCAACACTTCTATATTCCAGAAGCTAACTCTTGTAGGTGAAATTTGTATGTTGTAAAAGGCCCCAACCCTCCCTGAGGACAGCAAGCTGAGGGTTGGGGAATAGGCAGCCAGGGGGTGCTGTTGGGAACTTAGCCTCAGTTGTGAGAAGTACTTCAGCCTCCTAGGTGCTGTCCCCTAGGTACCCCTGGGTGGTAGGTCTGGAGGATGGGATGGATGCTGTGCCTTCCCCCAGCCTTCTTGGTGGCACATAAAAATGGTACATGCTTGTTCCAAAGTCACACTTGCAAATTGAGTCCCCTTTCATGCTTCATTCCTGGATTGTGGGACCTTCTATGTGCCACCAAGTGTGGTGAGGTTGGGGGTTCAGGACTGTGGAAGTTGCCCCCTCCTCTAAGCCTTCCCTCACAGCGCACCTCAGGGCAGTGCCCGGGAGGAGAGTAGACTACAGGCTGAGATGAGAAATTGCTTGGTAAGTTTTCAAAGGGAGGGAGAAACAGAACAGCGTTTCCTCACTCTACAGGATGTTGGTACTCAGTGACTCCCAATGCTGGGCACAACCCTTGGCACAGAGGAAACATGAAATGGACATGACTTGGGTCTAGCGAGAGATGGCTAGATAAACTGACACTGTGGAGATGGGAGGAAATGTGACCTGCCCAGTCACAGGAGGCTTCAGCATCCCAAGAGCAGTAAGGGTTAAGCAGGTAGGGATCAGAAGGGGTGCTGAGAGGCCAGCCAGAATGCAGGATAGTGGTGTGGATTGTGTTCAGGCCACTGGCAGGTGGGGGAGGGAGAAAGTGGAGAGTCGAGAATTATAGAAGCAAGGCACAGAGAGCTTAGGTGGATTGGGGACATGCTGTGAATGAATGGAGTCTCCAAAGGAATTGAGGAAACCTCAAGCTTGAGGACTGGAATGGTGGGCTGCCAGGGGCTCAGTTCTATAAAAGCATATCCCAAAAAAAAAAAAAAAAAAAAAAAGCATATTCCAGGCCCTGATCCTGGGAGGACACTTAGGTTCTGGGGAGATACCTAGTGGGGGGAAGAAGAGAGCAGAGCAGAAGTAGGAGGTAGGCCTATACTCTCTGTTAGCATGTTTCAGTTGAAAAGCCACCAGGTTAGGCTCAGAAAGATCTCTGAGGCCTGTTTGTTCCAGCATCCATCTACATATACCATCCCATAAATGACTAAAGCTGGGGTGGAGAAAATAACGGGAACAGTTGAAGTAATGCTGTTGTAGGAATGTGATACGAGTTTAGGACCACTGGAGTTGCTGCCCATAGGTTTCCTATCTACTCAAGTATGAAGTTGCTCCAGGCCATAGGCCTGAGCCTTATTCAGGCCTCAGTCGGTAAGTTACAACAAGCACAAAAAATGGGCCATCTCGCTGGCCTGCAGGGAATCATACCCAATATTGAAGAGGAAAACAAAAAGCCTCAGAAGGGCAGAAGTGTAACAGTCACAGTGAGGGTCTATAGTCATTGAAAAAAATTAAATTCATTCTAGTACTCTTTGATTAGTTTTAAGGAAGCTACATTTTGAAGTTGTTCCTCCAGACATGTAAGGTGAAATTAGGTGTACAGAAACCATATGTGCCATGCAGCTGTGCTGTCCAATAAGGGAGCCATGAGCTATGTACGGCCAATGTAGTTGAGGGACACTGCATGTGTAAGTACACACTGGACACTGAAAAACTGGAACAAAAATGAATGTGACAGCTTATGAATATATATTGCTTATATACTGAAATGATAAAACAGTCACCCTGCAGTATTTGTGAGGGTTTGGTTCCAGGACATACCCATACCCCTGCCATGAATCCATGACAAGTTCTTTATATGAAATGATATAGTATTTGCATATAACTTGTCCATGTCCTCCAATATACATTTTAAAATGTAAATTATCTAACAACTTTAAAGTGACTTTTAGGTTTTTTTCTTTATAGTACTGAGAATAGAACCTAGGACTTATATATGCTACCACTAAGCCACACTTCCAGCCTATATTGATTTTTCTTGGAGATAGTCTCATTTATTTTGCCCAGGCTGACCCCAAACTCCTGAACTCGTGATTCTCCTACGTCAGCCTCCTGAGTAGTTTGGACAATAAGTGTGGGCCACTGCACCTTGCTTTCCTGTATAATCTCTACAATACTTATAATATTTACTCTAATGTAAATGCTGTGATATTATAGTAGCCTATCATTTAAGGAATGGTGTCCAGAGAACAGTCTACATGTTCAGTACAGGTGCAATTTTTCCCCAAATATTTTTTGATCCATAGTTGATTAAACCTGTAGATGTGAAACCCAGAGAGGGCTAACTATATATTGAATAGTTGGGTTAATCAGAATATGTGGTTGAAAGAACTTCTCGTTTGTTTTTAGTATGACTACTACAAAATTTTAAATTATATATGTGCTTTCAGTCCTATTCCTGTTGGAAGCACTGACACAGCTCTAGGCTGATTTGTAGTACTCATGTGGGTACCCATCCTGTATATTTGTCTTTGCCACTAGGCCTGTGTATGTTCTTGAAATATTAATAAACCACTGTCACTGTGTGACCAGAGGGCAGCAGTACTAGTTGATGCAGCAGAGATCATCTGGGGCTGCCCTGGCTGCCCACCCTTCCTGGTCACCAGACCCTGCCCCCTGCCTTGGAGTTTAGCTGTGTGCTCTGCTTGAGGAGCTCATGGGTCCCCACCAGGGCAGTTTGCACATATGGAAAGGCTTTAGGGGTGGCTTGCTATGTTCCTGCTATACAGTGTACTACAGACCTGATGCTGCCTCACCCTCCCTCCAGTATGCCCTGGAGAAGGACCTGTTAGGTTTCCTGCAGCCTCTATAATTCTCAGCCTCTCCTTGTCCCCTTCTTTGTTTTTATCTGCCTAGCCTATGTTGCCAGGAGATCATGGTCCCACTATAAAAGAAGAAAGTTCACATACCAGGACCAACAGGAGGGGATAAGAGAAGCAGGGCACAGTGGGGTTTGTTTTTTGTTTTTGTTTAGACAAGATCTTGTTACATAACCCAGGCTAACCTTGGAACTCCTAGACTCGAAGGATCCTCCTGCCTCAGTCTCTTGAGGAGCTAGGATTGTAGGTGTATGCCAACACACCTGGGTACACTAGGGTTCTTTATAAATCCTCACACCCCACCAGCTCTGCCTCACCAGCCAGCCAAGTTTACAGGGGATGGTAAGTTGAGGCTCACAAAGGTAAATAATAGTTCCTGGCGTGGCACACACTCTGGCTTCTTAGACTCCCTGGATCGTAACAGGTGACTGATAGACTGGGATATTTTAGGGCTTTGTTCCTTCATGGGATCACAAAATGCTAAGGGGTCACCAGGCGGTTTCATGGTGAAAAGCACTCAGTTTTGAAGAGACTAGGCCAGGGTGTTGTGCACATTCATTGAGGCTTGTGTGTCTTTGTAAGAGGACATTTGGCCTGAGAGCATTAGTTACCATGACCCTCCTACCCCTTCTGACCCTTAGCCCTGCCACAGGGACTGGGCTTGACAAAGCTGGTGTTGCCATCTTAAGGCGCAGCTGGAGCCTCCCCATCAAGTCACTACAGACCATTCTCCTGGAGCCTACAACCACACTTTTGACCTCCTTGTCCATGCATAACACGAGGAAGCCTGAAATAACAGTGTCCCAGCTGACAGTGGGAGCAAGTGATTCCAAAAGGTTCCAGGAATCATATAGAGCTGGATAAACGAGTCTGCTTTTGTTGTTAGACTTTTCAAGTGCTGGGGAAGTGCTTAGATAATCTTTAACCCAACAATCGGAACAGTACTGTTACCTGGTTAGGGGCTGGAGATATAGGTTAGTGGCGCAGTGCTTGCCTGGCAAGTGCACGGTCATGAGTTTGATTCCCAGTACCAAAAAAAAAAATGCTCCCTTTTTACCTGGATAATGCAACAAAGAAGACAGGGATATGGCTGCCCGGTGTCCAGACTTGTAACCATGTATAGAGCACATCTTAAAAATAAATCAGTAAACATCAGGCATGGTAGTATATACCTGTAATCCCAGCACTCGGGAGGCTGAAGCAGGGGAACGGATACAAGTTTGAGACCAGCCTGGTTTGCAAAGTGGTTCAAGGCCAGCCTGAACTGCATAGCGAGACCCTGTCTCAAAAAGGCCAAAAAAAAGGGACCAGGGATTTAGTTCAGTGGCACAAGTGGCTGGCTGGTGCTGCTGGCAAGCACACAGTTATGGGTTCAATCCCCAGTACTCCCCCCCAAAAAAATTAGTAAGCACCTGCCTGACAAATGCAAGGCTCTGAGTTTGATTCCTGGTACCAAAAAAGAAATCAGATCTCATTTATTGTGTTTGCTGACTTCCAAAGTATCCCTTATGTGGCCAATCAGTGTCTCTGATTTTGGAGTTAAGAGCTGTGCAGAGGTGGCACCCAAATGCCTGCATGAGCCAAGTCCAGCATCCTGTGCTCTGAATCACACAACTACAATCTAGCTTGCAATCCTGTTTGCCATTGTGCCTCCTGTTTAAAGAAAAGGACAAATGTTATTCTGAGGGGATGTCATCCTACAACAGCTGAAAGGTAGAAGACAGGGAGTCCAGGCATGGGAAAGTGGTTGAGGAACACGAGTCTCAGTGAGCTTGTTTATTCTTTGCAGGGTTCCAAATATTAACCAGTCAGGAGACAAAAGAACAACTCAAATGTTCAGAGTAATTAATTTCATTCTCAGAGACAGGGAAAATTATCACCTAGAACCATTCCCCAGTGAGTCTAAGCCTCATGTTGCTGTTTTCCATTGCTATCTTACGTGTTTCTATTCCATCCTTCCAACCTCTGTATTCCATCCCCATCCTTTCTTTTGGTGCCTAGAATGAACACCTTAAATTAATGTAAATTGGAAGCTTCAAGGGTTGTTGTTTGGAACTTTTTTCCAGTGATGGGGATTGACCCCAGGGCCTTGTAATGCTAGGCAAGGAAAAAAAAGAAAAAAAGAAAAAAAAAAGCAAAGTATAGATTAAGGTCTATACCAGTGGGTTTAATCTGGGTGACTAACTAGTAGACAGTTTCAATCATTGAAACTTCTGCTGGAACCCAATCATGGAATCAGTAGCTAAACCTAAGAGTAAAAGGCTTGAGCACTGTGTTTAAAGGGTACTCCAGGAAAACAAGGGAAAAAAACTATTTAGAAAGAGCTCTCAAAATCAGAAACCTGGCTTTAGTCCCTAATGATTGCTTTGCTTCTTGTCCAAATCTGATTGAGGAAGCAGTGATAGCATGCATTGGAGGAGACAGTGAGTTCCTCCTGCCATCTGCCGAGGGATAGAGATTCCATATGCTGTTCAGGACAGTAGACCTACTAGGCTTGCTTCCCCTAAATGGATCCACAGTGTATGTCCTTTCAAAGCTGTCCTCCTCTGGCCCTGAGAGACCTAGAAAGCATCATGTACACTTTGAAGGGCTTTCTCTAGAACATGCTAATTTAGGCGGTTCAGGACTCCTAGGCTGTAATAGTTTACACACTAACAGATATAAATGATGTCTGATGTCTTAGTGCATGCCTGTAATCCCAGTACTTGGGAGACAGAGGCAGGAGAACTGTTGCAAGTTTGAGACCAGCCTGAACTGCATAGTGAGATGCTCTCAAAATGACAAAAAAAAAAAAAAAAAAGTTTAAGGAACCAAATAACGTAGGTGTGTGGCAGTAGCACAGCTTGCCCAGGTTCCTAACACATGGTTCTATCTTCTCAGGGAGGAACAGAGGCGGCCCTGCTCTCGGTGGAGTACCCACACTGGTAGAACGCAGCAGCCGAGAAGGATCAAGCCAGAGGATGCCCCGCCAGCCCAGTGCTACCAGGCTGCCCAAGGGGAGCGGACCTGGGAAGAGCACCTCTCGCAGCAGCACATAGTGTGGGAGCAGAGACTGCTTTGCCCACCTTCTGGGTGCCATCATTCTCTCAACAGAGGCTGCATGTTGTTTCCTTCTGTAAACCTTTCTAAAAGCTGATGGCCTGGTTCAGGCAATCAAAATTTAGATTGTATTAAAGCACAAAGATTGCTGGGTGTTGAGGCACGTGCTTGTTATTCCAGCTGCTCAGGAGGCTAAGGCAGGACTGCAAACTTGAGGCCTGTCTGGGCAACTGGGCAAGACCCTGCCTCAGAAAGTAAATGAGAGGGAAGGAAGTAGCTAAGTGGGAGAGCACTAAGCATGTGAGGCCTTGGGTTCAATGACTCCTGTAAAGACAGAAAAGCAAAGATTTATAATGAGTTCTATACACCAGTCCTGGTTCTGTTGTAGCTAAAACAAGGGGCCAAAACCAGTTAACTGCCTTCTTGATCCTGGTTTCAGGGCCTAAGAGTATGAACACTGCCAGATCTTTTAGAAACAGGTGAAAAAGATTCCTTTGAAGGTAAAAATATAGTGTTCCCTGCCTGAACTGTTCAGAGTATTGGTGGCCAGGGAGGGCACGGGGCGAGCATGGATGGAGAACAGTATCTCCAAATGACCATGCACAGTGAGGTTGAGGGTGGTGTACTGTGACCTTCTGTGGGTCATGGTATCCATTTCCAGGCCAAAGCAGGATGTCTGACAATGTAGTAACTTAGAAACTTAGACCCTATCTCAAAAAATTAAAAAGCGTTGGGAAGCCAGGAAGGGTGACACATACCTGTGATCACAGCACTTGGGAGGCATAGGCAGGAGGCTAGCCTAAACTATATGGCAAGGCCTTGTGAAGAAAGGGAGAAAAAGAAGAAATGAAAAAGGGCTGAAAACCAGGTTCAGTGGCAAACTCTTGTAATCTCCGCGTTCTGGGAGGCTGAAGCAGGAAGACTGCAAGCTCAAGAGGGCATGGGCACCATAGCAAGACCCTGCCTCAAAAAGGGCTGGGTATGAAGCTCAGTGTGAGGGCCCTGGGCTCAATCCCCAGTACTTCCCAAAAAGGAAGACAGACAGCCCAGGGGATGTAACACTCCAAAGGCTGTACTCTCTGTACCACAAAGTAATACCTACATCCCCAGGCCTTGGTTGAAGACAATGTCTTGTTAAATTAGTAACTGTCCAGACTAGATCAAAAATTTGGAATCTTCCTGCCTCAGTCTCAAGAGTGCTGGGACATAAATCAATAGAACCACTGACTGCACATTTGACCCATCATTTTAGGACATGTACACTGAGGGGATTTATTAATCACAGTGTCTTTTACTGGAATAATTAAAATATATACACACACACACATACTTTTTTTTTTGGAGACAAGATCTCACTTTAAGCTGTGAACTTCAGGCTGGCCTTGAACTCTATAGTTCAGTAAGGCCTCAAGATTACGGTAATCCTGCCTCAGCTTCCCAAGTATTTAGGATTACAGGCATCTGCCAACATGCTCAGATTTAAACTGTAGTTGTTCACACTTCCTAAAAGATTTTTTCCTGATTCTTTCAGCCAATCATTTAGAACTCTTTCAAGGAATAATGTAGTAACTAAATAAACATGTGAAATTTCTTAAATTAATTTTTACCTTTTTGAGATAGATGTTCACTATGAAGTTCAGGCTGGCCTTGAGCTAGCAGTGATCATCCCACCTCAGCCTTCTAAGTGCTATAATTACAGGTCTGTGCCACAATACCTAGCCCATTAGAATAATTCTTTTAGGGGATTTGCACTGAGCTACCCTACCACTCTTATTTGAGACAGGGTCTCACTAAGCCATTAAGTTGCACAGACTGGGCTTGAACTTGTAATCCTCCCTGCTTTGGGCTCCCACAGTGATGGAATCACAGAAATGCAATTATCCCTCCCAGAAATCCACTTGGAGAAACTCATATATCTAAATAGGGAAATTATGTCACAGTACAGCACACAGCACAAACTATGAGTGAAAGCCTCAACACAGGAATTTTAATAGGTAAATACGTTGTGTAATGGTACAGTGAGTATAGGTAAGAAAGAAGACTTGATGGCTGCTCACTCCTCAGTATTCTTCTCCTTCTTCAGCCTCGGCTTCCACAGAATCCACGCCCACCTCTTCATAATCTTTCTCCAGCGCTGCCAGGTCCTCCCGGGCCTCAGAGAACTCCCCTTCCTCCATGCCTTCTCCCACGTACCAGTGCACAAAGGCCCGCTTGGCATACATGAGATCGAACTTGTGGTCCAGGCGGGCCCAGGCCTCAGCAATGGCAGTGGTGTTGCTCAGCATGCACACGGCCCGCTGCACCTTGGCCAGGTCTCCCCCTGGCACCACAGTGGGAGGCTGGTAGTTAATGCCCACCTGCCAGACAAGGAACAAAAACCTATTAGAAGGCTTGGATGACACCCAGAAATGGTGGCTACTTTTCCTCAACCACAAGACACTATAGGTTCCCTCTGATGACCAGCATCACTCCACAAAAGGCACCAAGCCTTTTGTGCTAGGCAGGGTGTCAGGACAGTGGGGTGATGGCTCCAGAGAGAAGCAAACAAGACACTTGATGTGGCCATTGTGCCTTAGTCCCAAGTGGCCTGAAGGGCACAGCCCCAGCAGCTGTGACAGGTGATAGGTATTCAAGGAGAAAGGACTGTTTTCCCTCTGAAAATTACACTGCCTTGTATTACCTGTGGAATTTATTCTCCATAAGATTCAAGGAGATGGTGATGAATTTCTGCAGCTGAAAGCTTTCCACTCAAAGAGTCAGAGACCTGAACACAACTGTGGTGCCCCCTGGGAAGCTCATGTTCCCTGCTGACACAATAAAGACTATGGCTACAGCCACATGCAAAAGAAGTCACATGAATGTGCTGCATACTGGAAGGAGGTAGTCGACCTGTGTACTAATGAGGGCAGGAGTAGCATTCTGGTTTGGGAGCAAAAGGACCCATTTCAGGTTGAAGAATGAGAGATGAACATGAACACAGTTTGGGCAACTCTAGCATCAACTAGAGCAGGACCAGCAATCTTGTTCTGCAGAGACACATTCTGCACTTCAGAGTTGTTCTTAGTGATGTAACAATTGCTCTACTGTGGATGCACTGTAAAAGCAGCCACAAAGAATCCCTAGGTGAACAGCTGGCATTTAGACCCAATGTTATTTACAAAACTAGGCAGCTGGTTTAACAATCATGAAAATGCCTGATCTGGAAGAAGACAATCCCAGTGCAGAAATGTCCTGGTGAGGAACCTACTGCAGTGAAGCTACCAGCAGCAAGGAGCAGCTAAACCAAAACCAAAGGTGGCATGAAAAACAAAGAACAGTGTCAAGACAAGAAGAATTGACAGGATCAGTACCTACTAATCCTCCGTGAAAAGTGACAGGAAGATTTCTTAGTGTTTTAATGGAAGAGCAGTACAAACTGTATTGGAAGCAAAATCTGGTCACAATTTATAGTGTGACAAGATATTGCTTCTTTAAGCACATAAAAGATTTACAACACATTTTCGGTCAGGTATGTGATACTAATTTCCACACACCTAGAGGATAAAGAGATGGATGACATTATAGTACTGCCTCAAATATATATCCCACAGGAAGTACCAAATGTCCATATAATTCCTACATTTTCAACACTAATCCCACCACCATAAAGGGTCCTAAGGATCACCCCAGTCAGCAGGATGACAGCTGTGAGGCATGGAAGAATTCAGTGGCAGACTCAGCTTTGCCGTCTGGGCAAGTCCCCTGCCAGCCCTTAACAGCCATGGGGGTGCCATTCCTCTGACTCTCTACAGCCCCACAACTGGAAGAGCCCCCGTCTCCCCCACAGGCATCCCCACCACTGCAGTGCAGCCTTCCGCCTTCCAGACATGAGCTCTGCCTTCTGCCAGGGAAACCACCTCATCTTTGGTTGTCAAGAGGGACAGCCAGGCGGATGCCACCCTCTGCAGCCCAATTCAGCATGAGTCACAATGGTGACTTCAAGTGGCCCCTGGAATCCTCAAGAAATCCTCCAGCAGAGGGCCCAGGCAGGAACCAGTGAAGCCCTAAGTCCCTGAAGGGTACCCCTACCCCTTGGGCACACCCTGGGTGCTGGACTAAGTATAGCCTGGAGGACCTAGCTGAGAACAAGGAGCAGAGCAATCTGCCCTGGTCTTCCTCAGCTCCCTGAACCCCGCAGTTCACAATGACCACATCCCATCCTCCAACCTGGTCCCCCCTGGCTGTGATAGAGGAAGACTAGTCTGCCACGCCAGCCCAGGCCAGTGAGTCCAGACCTGAAGTGCATCCTGATGAAAGGAGATTCAGGGTTCACACACTGTGAAGCTGACCCATGGCGGGACACAGGAGCCCAGAGGCTGAGGATCCCTGCTCAGACACAGTTGGTTGTCTGATGTCAGTATGAACCAAAGCACAAAGCACTTCTGAGCAGGCGCAGCAGCTCCAAGGCTCCCCCAACCTGAGAAGGAACACCCAGCCTCATCAGCCCAGCGGGCTGCAGCCAGGGCTGGCCACAGTCACTCCAACTGGGATGGCAGGAGGACCACTCCCTTAGGAAGGAGGCTACCTGTGGACTACCTTAGGAGGCATCAGTAGCTCTGGGCATCCATCTCCAGAGCACAGACATAGAGAGGGGGGAGGGGTGGAGAAGGGTAACAGATGCTAGGAGCCCTGCTTCCCTGAGGTCCACTGGGGAAGAAAAAAAATGATTCAGAGTCTTAATAAAAAAAATAAAAAACACAAAAAACAAAACAAAACAAAAAGGCGCAGCTTTATGGATCATCTAACACTCAGGAGGCTGAGGTAAAAGGATCGCTGTGAGTGTGAGGCGAGAGTGGCCTACATCAGCGACTTCAAGGCCACCTAGCACTACATGAGAGCCGCATAAATACAAAGCAAGCAAACAAAAAACCATGCCCTATTCCGTTAACCATAGTTTTTCAAACATACCATGTCTTATTGTGTTAACGGTAGTTTTTCAAACATTCAAGTACTGAAAAGATTTTCACTCTAGGTAACTAACTAAAGCACCAAAGGCCTACCCCAAGGGCAACAGACATTCTGCCTAAAGGATGTGGGCCCCTTGGGCAACACAATTCTGCAGGGCTGCTGTATGTTGACAGGCACAATGACTCAACTCGACCCAGTCCTACCTTAAAACC